CCTCCAGCCCGTCCATGATTACGATAAGACACGAGAGGTGGCTCCTTACGGGGAACTGCTTCCCTGACAGCAGCGCCCGGCACGTCCTTTGTCGGATGTATTGTCGTGATTAAGGAAGGTATGAGTGCGCTCGGGGTACGGAGTTCCCTTTATTGCTCCAGGAAGTGCAGTCGATATCCGTTGATGCGTCCGTGCCGTACCGTGAAGTGTGGCCAACAGGGAGGCCTTTGTTCTGGCTGACAGCATATAGCAAAATTACGTAAATTGTCAAGTGCATTTGCGAGCAATATTATGCACTTCCCCGGGTTGGTCGGATGCTGGTGACTGGGGGCGCGTCGTGCGGGCCAGTCACAGTGCGTCTCAATATTCCACTTTGCCCAGGATATCCGGGGTGGGGGGCTCGGGGTAGGGCTCCATACGGGTTTAGCGGTTTGTCACCTGCGCTGCATGCCGGGTGCCCATCGCGGAGTTCCGCTTGGGTGCCCGGCTGCGCGCGGTGGTTCAAAGAGTCAGGGGGCAGCGACTCTGGACCAGGGCCGGACGGGCAGAGATCCCCCGGTTACACTTGGCCGTGTGGTGGGAGGTGTGGCTTTCCCTGTAGAGGACCGGGGTAGCCCCGGCCGTGACCACCTCTCGGTAGAGTGTTGGGCCATCCCCAGTTGAGCTCCGAGGTGGGTGGCCGTGTGGTGGGAGGTGTGGCCTTCCCTGTAGAGGACCGGGGTAGCCCCGGCCGTGACCACCTCTCGATAGAGTGTTGGGCCATCCCCAGTTGAGCTCCGAGGTGGGTGGCCGTGTGGTGGGAGGTGTGGTCTTCCCTGTAGAGGACCAGGGTAGCCCTGGCCGTGACCACCTCTCGATAGAGTGTTGGGCCATCCCCAGTTGAGCTCCGAGGTGGGTGGCCGTGTGGTGGGAGGTGTGGTCTTCCCTGTAGAGGACCAGGGTAGCCCTGGCCGTGACCACCTCTCGATAGAGTGTTGGGCCATCCCCAGTTGAGCTCCGAGGTGGGTTGGCGACCCCGTGCCGACAAAAACATTGCGTGATATTGGCTTGCTCTAAAAACGCCCGTCCTGCGAAAGGGGGTCGGACCTCGATAACCCCAGGTTGCAGAGAAGACAGTTCTCCCCGGTCCACGGATCTTCATCTTTGAAAGGGATGAGGTTAGCCTGGCTCCCCTGTCACCGTTTCAGAAACAGAACGGCTGCGACAAGTGTGGGGAAATTATCAGATGAGACCTGATACATTGCGTCCATATTCAAACAGACTGGAGTTCGCTAGATAGCAGCTAAAGAACTTAAGTGCAGTGTTTGGGATGAGACTGCCAGGCATGAAAATGTTGTCGAAGTCAGTAGCACCACACTACGTCAAGCATTCGTCCAGGGGCGTGGCCAGCTGCTTCGATCTTCGTGACGTCCACGAGGACGAGATAGTCGAGGAACTGTCGGAGTTCGGCTTCGCGGCCGCTCGTAGGATTTTTATCAAATAGATAGGATTGTTTATCCCCACCAACGCAGCTTATTATCGCGTTCAGTGCGCTGATTTGCGGGCCGAGCTTCGTGTGCGATACGCTCGCATGAAGGCCTTGTGTCTAATGTCTTGTGTCTTGTGTCTTGTCCCCCCTTGTGTCTAATCACATTCAATGCTACCAATGCCGGCGATTTGGCCACACCAAGCTCCACTGTAGTAACCGCCCAACATGTGGTAAATGTGTGTCATTTGAACACACAAGCGAAGCTTGCACCTCTGCTGAGCCCCGCTGCGTCGGCTGCGGCAAAAACCAAGTCCCACACACGACGTACGACTGCACATGCCCAGCCTACGCGAAAGAAAGGATCATATCAATTAAAACCTCTGAAAGCGTCTTTCCGTGAAGCTCGTGAGCTTTACAACGAAACCCACCCGGAAGCATTGTGTGCATCGGAAGTGAAAACTTTGTTGCCAAACACTAACGTGATCGGGCAAATGACGGCAGTTCAGTTCGTGGGACTTTTGAAGTCGTTGGCTTGTCGGCTGTTCCATCGGTCTGAACGTCGGACTCCCAGCCGGCATTCCAAGCTCCCTGCCCACCGATCGGGCAGCCGGTGGCCGCCGCTCCGTCGGCCTCCTCGGCGCCGGCTGGATCGTCGACGGGCGACGGCCGGACGGTGGCTCGGCGTGGTCGCAGTCCTCGCGCGTCGTCGGGCGTTTATTCTTCTGAGACTCGACCGGTCTCCTCACCGCATACACCCCTCGCCAGTGCCTGTGGGATCGTGGCAGAGGCGCTGGAGCGAGTGGAAGCTCGCAGGTGCGCCTGCGAGGCTAAGCAAGGCCTCCAGCGCCACCACTTCGAGTCACGGCTTCGCCAGCGCCGTCCCCGTTTAGAACAGGAGGCTCAGGAAAGCGTGGTTTATCTGGCCCACAAAAGACAGTCCACGTGCTCGGCCCAGAACCGAGCCGGCGGCGGTGGGCACGGACCCCGGTGATTCTTTGAGCCCCGTAGCTGGACCGTCTGCGTCTCCCGCGACTGGCGCAGTCGAGTTATTTTAGATCAGGCTCGTTTTTCACTGAAACCCACACACATGTCTCTTTGTAGACGTGGATACCGCGGATCGGTGGAGGTCTCTGGACCGTCCTCACCCTTTATCTTCATGAAGAACATGTTACAGTGGAAGTAGCGGGGTATCCGAACGAGCTACCAGGATCTGCAAGCGTGCGTTGACGGACGGCGCCCGACGGCGGTGTGTCTACGCGAGACAAAACTATCACCTGACAGCCTTTTGGTCTTTATTGTTGCGGTGCGTGGCGGCGATGTTTGTCAGCTAACTCCATTGCACACGGTGGCGTTATGTCCGTGCGCCACAGCGTGTCTGCTCAGAGACCGGTTTTAAACACTGAGCTACAAGCTGTCGCAGCCAAAGTGGTCGTCGCAGCCAAAGTCAGAGAGTTGCGTTTGCTGGCACTTTTCGCGCAGGTCCCGACAAGAAAATAGCGTCCCCGGGGCAGTGTTGTAGCATGGCTTTGTTCCGTGCTATGATAAACGGTATTGGTGACTCCCTTTCCAAGTCGATTATCCGCCCTATCTTCATGGATGATGTCGCCATCTGGTACTCCTGGTCAGACTCCGCTTGTCGGGAGCGTCGCTTGCTGTTAGCCGTGATTATGCTGGCAAGACGGAGCATTCTGAGCGGATTCCGTTCAGAATCCGCAACAGTCGCCATGCGCTGCTGCAGACGCCGCCGTCATTGCCCGCGGTGGCCTTAATGCTATGCAACCAGGCGATTCCGAGTTATTCCAATGCTCGCTTCTTGGGTTCTGCAGTTTGATAATCGCTTGACGTATAGGTCACATGTGAAAACCCTACGTGACGACTGTGTTAGAGTATTAAACAGACTGAAGGACGTGTCTCGAACTTCTTATGAAGCTGACAGGGGAATACTGTTATTCCTACACCGTTCTCTCATTCGTGGGAACGGCTGCGGATGTTTTATTTATGACCGCGGGCGGGATCCCCGTAAAGGTTCTAAAGACGCGGCGCATCATACCGCGTGACACATTGCGACTGGTGCGTTTAAAACATCACCAATTGCTAGTCTTGCGGTGAAAATAAATGTACCACCGTTGGCACGGAGGAGGAAAATGCTTGGCATGTAATACTTCTGCCAACTGGCCCAATTTCGAAGCCATCCGACTCCGAGCAATTTGTTCACGCAGGATCGAAATTGTGTTTCAAAGCGGCCGAATGCCGTACGCTTTTCTATTTGGCGTTGAGATGAAGGCGCTCTTCCGAGAAAGCGACATTAGTTTGCATGCTGTGTGAAGGTCGCGTCCCGTACATCCGTGGGAGCTAATTCGACCAAAAGTGCATGCTTCCCTTTCAAGCACCAGGAAACAGGGGGCGATCCCAGGCGACTTTAGGTCAAAGGCTTTGCAGTATATCGGATCATACATAGGGCTTCACGCCACATGTACCGATTGTTCCAGAACAGCAGTGGGTGTTGGTTTGCAGTTGAAGATGGCCATGGCACCCGGGCATCTTCCTACCGAAACACGTCCCAGTGTACACGCCCGAGATCGTCGCAATTAATTACGCCCCGAGCTTCATCGAAGCTGGTGAAGACAAGTCACACGTGACCCTGTCCGATTCTTTGAGCGGCCTGTTGGTCCTGACACCTTACCCCATTATACAGCATATTTCAAATCGGCCGACAGCGCTGGATCTTGCGGGCAAAACTGTCGTCCTATGTAGGATACCGAGCCATGTGGTATCGCGTAACGACCGTGCTGATGCGGCCGCAAAACGGGCAGCGCGCGCGCCTTGCACCCGCTCTTTACCCTTGCCGGCAAGGAACTTTACCCCGTCATCACTGCCTGTATGAAAGCAAAATGGCAACGCTGCTGGGATGTTCCAGTAAACACAAATGGCGACGCTGCTGGGATGTCACAGTAAACAGCAAATGGCAACGCTGCTGGGATGTCGCAGTAAACAGCAAATGCGATCAGGCCACAGCTGGGTCCGTGGCCGCAGAACTCACCCAAGGTGAGACGCGAAGAGGTAGGGTGCGAATTGGCCACACGCACGGGACACATAGCTACCTTTGTGCGTTAAAGAACGGCCCAAATGCCTAAGTCGCGATGGGCCACTGACGGTTCGCCACGTTATTCACAGTTGTAGTCATTTCTAATGCAGGATAATACACGTGGGCTGCCACCCAGCTGTTATGGGCGCGAGATAACCTTAGAAGTCGGCGCGCCCTAAACCAAAATAATCATGAATAAATAACGGGGTGTGAGACGACCCGGGTATCCCCGACGTGACGTTGGATAAATGTGATCCGACTCGATATGAGGCGTTCTTATCTGAGATCCTCAAAGGGATGTGAGGGTGTGTAACGTGAGAGGACGCCAGAAGACCCGGCCCGGGGTGAGCGGGTGTCAGATGACCCGACTATACCGGCATTCCCTGAGGACGTCTGCCCTGACCCGACCTGGAGCCTCATACATGGTGACTCTGCCGCCGTCGCCAGGTGTGGCACATCCAGTCGGCGGAGCAGCTGTCGGAGCTGCTGGGCCACGTGGTGCGCATCTTCGGCGAGAGCCTGCCGTCGGCCCGCGTCCAAGAGCGCTGGGCCCAGGTGGCGCTGCACGTGGCGCTCAGCTGCTCGTCCCGACACCTGGCCAGCCGCTCCCTGCAGGTGCGTCCGGCCGCTGGCCGTCGGCGCTGCACACGTCCCGCTGGCTCGCCGCGCCAGGAGACCGGTGTGAGGCGTCCGTGGCAGATCTACTGTGCTTCTCCGTGAGAATGATGGCGTTTTTCGCATGTCGACACTGCTACTCGCTGCCGAGAGTTAGCCGCTTGTCGCAGGTCGACACTGCTGCTCGCTGCCGAGAGTGGGCGCGCCTCTCGCGGGTCGACACTGCCGCTCGCTGCCTAGAGTGGGCCGCGTCGTGCACACCTCCGTGAGGTCGAGCGGGCGTTGGTGACCTGCCATCGGCGGGCTGCAGGCTGTAACACAGAAGACGTGGGTTGTGCTGGAGAGGGCAGTCCGATTCATGGGCATGGTTTAAGTCGGTGTATGTTGGTTGGATTTCAGTCTGGAATTTGCAGTTCAGAATGCTCTCGCATAAACAGTATCATACATCGACTACCTCACAACACAGTGCTGTCTCGTAGGTGGGCCAAGAGCGGAACAACTTCGGGCGCACTATTGTCAAGCGGTCAAGTAATGCACTTCTTGCTCTTAGCGGCCGCGTATTCGCAGCCTTGATCGATTGGGTAAATGTAGTGCAGTTTCACGAACGCTGACTTGTTTAAACCTCTTTAGTTTGGAGCTCTCAACGTCATTTCCACTGCCCTTGGAAATGCGGGGCTGAGGGAGTCTGGCAGGCTCGTCAATCCCAGACTGATGTTGGGAACGTCGAGACACGCGACCGCCAGCCGGAGACGCTTGATTGGCTCTGAGTCCGACCCTTCGGCGGGCATCTTGTGAACTAGGCACCTGCGGTCCAGCTTAATTATAATTGAATTCAAGCCGGATGGCTAATTTACGACGAAACCAGAAATCTTAGCCTTTGGAACAGGGCATGGCTACTGCACGTGATTTCAAGTATGTGGTATGCATCTGCTGCCACAAAGATCCCTGACAGTGGCCGCCAGTTACACAACCACGCTATTTCATCAGGCCTTACGGAGGGAAAAGTATATGTCCATTGCATGAACGCAAGAAGTGCAGCTGTGCTGAACCTATGGCATGCCCATGCCGGCTGATGTCATCGTACGGACGCTGACATCATCATAACGCCATCGACAGCACGTTTATTAAGCGTGTATCGTTATGGGCGCAAAATGACCATTGAAGTCGGCGCGCTCGTAAACACCAATGGACAACAACAACAAATCGATTAAGCATGTACGATATGGTGTGGGTGGCGCCGGGCTGACCCGCGTCGGCCGGCCCTGTCGCCAGGTGTTCCGGGCGCTGCGGATGCCCATCACGTGCCGCATGCTCTCCGACATCCTCTCCCGGCTGGTGGAGACGGTGGCCGAACAGGGCGAGGACATGCAGGTTAGGCGCCCCACAAGTGCCGACGCGGCCGGGTGCTCGCCTGCTCCCAGCGCCTAGCAGCGGGCGTCACTTTAATCGTCGTGTGAATGCTCTGAGGCCGAACGGCAGTTGCAGGCGCTGGGACGTGACGCGCTCCAGGAAGGTGTTCGACACTGCCATGCCATCCAGGTGGAGGCCGTTACAGGTGCCATCCCGGATTTTCGTTCGCGGCATGCCGGTGTTAGTTTGGGTGACGTTGTTCAAATGCCTCATTAAGCACTTGGTGGGGGATGTCCGTTGCCCACAAGTCGTCTAGAATGCTGTATTATATCATTTTGAACAACCAAGGGGCGTATGTAATGGTTACAGATGCCGTGAGTTCATCACAATTCGCGAGACATTAACGATATTTCCCATCACAATACAAGCCTCACCGCTCCGAATAAATCTTACTGCTACGACTGTTCTGCATTGGCAATGACGCGGAACGGAAATGAAACTGCTGGCTGGGATGACGGTTTTGGGGTGTTGTTTTGTGTCGCATGTTTCATGTGAGATAAGCTAGCGTCAGTTTAATCATAGTTTACCGTCGCACTCCCTGTCCGACCTGACCTGACCGGACCGGACCGATGCAGGGCTACGTCACTGAGATCATGCTGACTCTGGAGTCGGCCGTCGACTGCATCGACTCCGACTTCCGGCCGATTGACTTCGTCAAGGACCTGTTCAAGTCGACACCAAACCTGATCAACAAGGAGCCGCGCCGGCCGCACGTGACGGGCTCAGTTGGGCCGGCGTGCGGCACCCAGCTGGCCGGCCACCTCCGCTCCACCAGCTTCTCCACGGGCCAGGCGCCGAGCGCCACCAACAAACAGCCGGCCAGTCCGGCCAGCGACCGAGGTGAGACGCTCCACACGGCCAGGAGCTGACATTCACCTCTGGTTGAGGGCAGCCTGTTGCGATGCAGACGCGAGCTTTATGTGGCAACAAAACACGGGGTCACTTGAACAAAAGCCACCACTCGGCCTGCGACTCTGTGAAGGGAAATGTCAACAGTCTCAACCTGGTAAGAAACTTAAGATCGCGTTCGGTGATACACATACAGTGTATTTTGAGGTATTTGTATGCCTGCTTATTTATTCATCGGAGTGCAGTTTTAGACTATTCGCCATGTTGAGACGGTTGTCATTTCCCTTCACAAAGGGAAATCTTTTAACAAGTACGGAGGCGAGGCCAGTGCTGAGCCCTGTTTGTGTGACCACTTTTCGTCGCCGCGAGCGGTTGGCAACGAGCTATTACTACGAGATAAGGCTTACGGCCGTGGTAACATAAATATTTGCTGTAGCCATATATATATATATATATATATATATATATATTCGCTGTCTCCAGAATCCTGCTCCATTGACAATGTGCGGCTTTTGTGCCGCGGGTGCCTTCTTCCTCGCAGGGTGATATGGGTGGGCGTACCACATTTTTAGTTAAAAATGTCAATTGACGGATCGGCCCGGAAGCACACTGGCTGTTTTGAATCAGGGACGGTTCCGCGTGGCGGACCAAGGCTACCTCACCGTCTCCACACACGACCGGTCCCCCGATTTAGCGTGTGAATCTCTTCACGTTGCGGGAAAAGGCGCGCCGTGTTTTGTGCGGGATCGCGGGATCGGGCCATTGTGCCGTCCGTCTGGAGTGCGGCTCGTCCGGGTGATGTCACAGTCGGCTGATATTTTGGACTTTTGGTGACTCTTGCAGTGTGCATCGCCAGGATTGTGTGTTTACAAGTGCAGGTTTACCAGCTAGGAGCGGAGTTTTCTGGAAGTTATTATCCAAAGTCCAGTCCCAGGGATAGTCCAAAGTTCAAGCCCAAGGATAGACGACCTGTCCATCCAAAAGGTGTTCAAACATCGCGTTGTCCAAAATGTCCATTTTTTATCAGGTAACTACTGCCTGCAACCAAGAGTCCCAGTCAATGTTCGCATGGCTGCATTTCCTCACTCGAATGGAATGAAAGGAAATAAAATAATCGTGGATAAGTAATGTGCATCTACATTAAACAGTCCAAGCGTATACTAACTTGCGACACCTCAAAATGATATCGGTTGTTAAAAAAGAATTATAAGATCTTCACCCTATCCATCCAATTTCCAAATTGGACTAAGAAAATTTTTGAAATTCTAAACCTTCGAAATCCAATCAGCACTTCTAATGCCAACATAATATATTATAGCAATGTAATAACTGCTCTAATAGCATAACGCCGGGATCATGAAACGTTAGGAAAGTCGTCTCATATGCGGGTGGGGAACGATCTTGTCAGCTACTTGTTCAGCCTCCGTGTGTGATTGAGCTAGCAGCTGGAGTACCAAGGCAGGACAGGCTGGCTAGGAGCAGACTGGTCGGCATTACCAGGTCCCAGGTGTAGAGATCTGCTTTATATACCTAACGAAGCATAGCCCCTCCCCCCCCCCCCCCCCCCTCCCTCCCTCTTGCCCGATATTCAGACTGTTGCATGCAAAACTAGCAGATGGCGTCGACGGGCCCAGCATACAACCAGACACTCGATCATGTGCTGTGTTGCTGGCAAGAAGCGAGATCGAGTCGGATGTATATAAAGTATGAAACATGTATTATACAGCAAAGAGCATGATTTGTACGTCATAGTACATGCTAAGCATTGCTTCACAACGACCAGTAGTGTGTGTTCAATCGCTCATGCGCACAAGTTAAGTCGCGAAATAAGTGCTAAGGTAGAACAAAACATCGTAAAACAATTTAAGGCTAGGTACCTGCATACCAAAATTTGTCAACGGATGTGGAGTCACCTAACATCTTTATTATTTTATAGTTGTCGATCGTTGGCATCGCAATGCCCGCTGCAATGCCTGTCATACCTGTCGGGATTTCGTTCTGTTCTGCTTCCCACGTAACAACGCCCCCCCCCCCCCCCCCCCCCCCCAATGCGGGCATGATGAATCGCCGAAGTGAGCCCCGACCCTCCAACCCTGGAGAGCAGACCACGTTATTGGATGGCTCAGAAAAGATCCGTGAAGGAGAGCTTCCGACCACCACTCTGTGTCTTCCTCGCGAAAGAGTGGCTGCATTATTCACATTGATCGCATTGAACAAGCCATAGAAAACTCGGCGCCGGCTTGAAGTGCCCAATAAATCCGACCCAGTGGTATAAAACGCCCTGTCTGTGTCTGGATGCGGCTTGCATCAGATGCGTGGCGCGACAATCGGGCACGGTGATAAATCAAATGAGCCGCGGTCATTTGGCCTGAATGACTCATTAGTCCGGAATTCGCGTGTCTGTAGATTGACTCGCCTTGTTTTCGTTTCAGTATTGTCGAATCCCTTTCGTTCAAGTTTTGCTGTTGTCCTGCCCTTTCTCGTATATCATTGATGGGGTTAAGTGGATGCCCCAACCTGTACGCGAAAACTTCGATTCGGGAGCGTTTGTGTCCAGTGTTTGGTTTGAAAGCGTAGGGGCTCGTTTTCGCATATTATGCGTAGCACGCTACCAAAACCACACGCCAATCTTAACAGTTAGCACACTGTCCTTCCTGTACATCATCCCCTGGTAAATGTAATGAAGGGATTTTATGCTGTCCTGGGCTAATTTTCTCACTCGTCGTGCTCATTTTTGGGTTATTTATTACTTCCGTCAATTGATGGAGCCTCCGAGCCCCAATGGTCGCGGGTAGCGCTTGTAATGTGTCATGTTCGGTGATAACACACGGCTGCTGTGTGTTACATCGCATCTCCGGCGTGTCACGTGGCTGCCAACCAATTCTACCCAGCTACTGTGCACGCCTGCCGTTTGGCTCGGAGCTGGTGGATGAAGGGGCGGCCGCGTGTGCCGCATTTCGACCCGGCTCGTGCCGCCGCCAGCACCGCCGTCTCGGCGGGCGGCCTGCCGACCGGGACCGCCCTGCCCCCCCCCCCCCCCCCGCCCCCACCCCAGCGACCGGAGGGAGAGTCGGCAGCCCCGCGGTGCCCTCTATCCCGCGTCCCGGACCGGACCGGCCCGGTCCGGTCCGGTCCGGTCCGGTCCGGTCCGGTCCGGTCCGGTCCGGTCCGGTCCGGTCCGGTCCGGTCCGGTCCGGTCCGGTCTGGTCCGGTCCGGTCCGGTACGGTACGGCCGGTACGGCTGCCGCCGGCTGGAGCCGGGCGAACACGGAGTGGTGACTTGTGGCCGAGAGCGTGCTGGTCGCGCGCTCGCTGATTGGGTGTAACGGAGTGCATGGTGAGCAGTATTATTAGGCTGCGCAGGTTGTTTTCTATGACTGGATCCCCGGCCAGGGCGCGTCAGTGAACGCCATTAGCAGCCCTCATCGCCACTCTGAGCGATCCCGCGCCAGCATGGGAACCGGCCGGTTGTGCCACCAACAATGCCCGCATGCTTTGGCTCTCGGTTCGCTCCGCCGGACGGGAAGCCGTGAAGTGTCCTTCGGCCGTCCTTTATGTATGATTCCTGGGCCGGAACATGTCGGGTGCTGAAAAGTGGTGAGATGCGTGTGTCTCTGTGACGACAAGTGTTTGTGTGTGTGAAGTGACGTGTCAGCAAGCATTAATGGCTGCTTGTCGCGTTGTTTCTGTCCGGCTATTAGACGCGACGGAACCACTAATTCTTCCCATGGCGTGCTTCAGAGGCGGAACAGGTCCTGCGCGGTGTATGGCTTCCCGGCGTCGGACGCGTACGTTGCTGGTGCCGACACCTTTGTGCGCGTTTGTCCGGGCGTGGCTGACGTCAGCCGTGTGGCCTGTTGCTCTGATCCTCGGGAGGGCCGGCCTGCGCGCGGCCGGCCCTCCCTGACTGCTCGTGCCGTGTGACCCCAGCGGCTGCGTCTGTCCGCGTGCGTCCCGGACGACCAGCGTGAACGGCCAGCTGACCGTCCCTCTCCGCCCGGCAGACGGCCGCCCCGGCCGCGTGCCAGACGCCGGCGCCAGTGGCCGCTCGCCCACCGGGCCGGCCGCCGCCCTGAGCCGCTCCCGCTCGGCCAACAGCCTGAAGCAGATGTCCGACCCGGACACGGAGGAGAGCAAGCTGGCCGTGCTGGCGCAGCTCTTCTGGCTGGCCGTTTGCCTGCTGGAGTCCGACTTTGAGTACGAGTACCTGCTGGCCATGCGTCTGCTGGAGAAGGTACGGCTCCGTTTCGTCGCTCCGCCCCGCAAACCGGGCCCGGAGATAGCGGTGCTGCTGCGCACGAAACGGTGACTTCCGGATCTCGGAGCAGTGTGAGATTTAGCTTTTCTCGCTACCGGTGAGGAATTTTGGTGGACAGTTGTGCATTAATATGCCAGACGCGGTGTGATGTATGATGCGGTTCAGATGGATGGCGCCGGATCGGCAACCACGGGCGGCGGCGTCAGGCTCGCACTGGAAGGCCCCAGGTGGAGCTTGGGACTTCGCTCCCAGTCCCTGCTTGCTAAGCATGATTGACGGGCAGATCCATGGCAGCAGTTTCCCATTGAAACCAGGCGATGGCTATCTTTTCTAAAATAGCCAAATGTTGAGCAGCAGCCTGACGGCATGGCTTATGGCCAGCGCTCGTCAGTGCTCTGCCTTCAAACGGGTTTGGCGAGCATCTCCCCCGCCGTGCGTGCCGCATGCGAGCACAGTATCTGGTTTCACCAGATACTGTGCTCGCATGCGGCACATGCATGCATGTGCTCGCATCTCACTTGGTGGTCGCGCCTCTGTGTTCCACAGCAGTAGTAAAAAGCTGACGATAGGTCCGGCGCGGCTGCCGTGTAGCGCCGGACCAAAGGTCACGTGACACAGACCTGTTTCGCGGCAAGCAGGACGCTTTCTTATTTTGAACTTTAAGAAACTTTGTAGGGCATCGAACAGCAACATTTCAATGTCACGAGCAGTCCGTGCTGTGAAGTCAGTTCCCATCAAACTCCTCGCAAGTTGGGCTGTACGCTGTAGGTGGCGGCGGGCGCCGCCGCCTGGCGATGTAAACACGGCTGGATGGGCAGGCGGGGCTGCTGTGGCGCGCGCCGCCAGCCGGCGCCGGGCGCCCACCTGCGTCTCGCCCGGGCGGTGTAAGGCGCGGCGGCTACGGCAGGCTGGCCAACCGCGCCGCTGGGCCGCCGCGGGCGACCATGTGTCGCCGTTTGGCCGCCGGGTGCGGCTATGTGTTGCCGCTGGGACGCCGGGTGCGACCATGTGTCGCTCTCATCGGCGCGCCGCCGCCACCGTGTAACGAGCGGCGAGGGCCGGCCGCTGCCGCCATATTTACGACCGGGGACTCACGGTGTCGGCTTGGTTGGGGTCGGGGTCAGGGTCAGCGTCAGCGTCAGCGTCAGCGTCAGCGTCAGCGTCAGGTCGGACGGGTCAGGTCGACTCGCCGTGTGGAGGCGGTACACTGCGCAGATGTGGGATCAGGGTTGGGGGCGGGGCGGACGGGTCAGGCCGGGTCGCCGGGTGGAGGCGGTACACTGCGCAGATGTGGGATCAGGGTTGGGGGCGGGGCGGACGGGTCAGGCCGGGTCGCCGGGTGGAGGCGGTACACTGCGCAGCTGTGGGATCAGGGTTGGGGGCGGGGCGGACGGGTCGGGACGGGTCGCCAGGTAGAGGCGGTACACTTCGCAGCTGTGGCGGCTCGACAGGCAGCCGCGACCCAGTGACTTGTACGTGGCTCTCAAGCCTGGTGAGGACTGGCTTCCATAGAATAATCACAACCCAGTGCTGGCTACCCGTATCTGGTATTCGACCGTGTTGGCAAGGTAATTACTCTGATGAAATAAGCAGAACGAAATCATTGCGTTGATCCATTCTTGTTTGAAAGACGTGGAGTTAAGGCATCGTCCAGACTACTGTCACGTTGATAATGGCCAAAATGAGGACAAATAGTTTGATCAGTAGAGTGCGTGAAACGCGTCGTGTAGACCGTTGGCGATTTGTAGGTTCCGATTCAACGTGGCTGATTTTTGTTTGATTTCCTAATGTTGCAAATGGAGCTGCATGGGTAGCAAAATTAACCGAAAATTTCAGCCAGACAAAGCGCGGAAAAATGAGGCGAACAGCAATTGCCGTTTCATTCGGCATGGGTCTTTTTGTGCTGCGTTGCCTGACCGACTCTTGCGAAAGCCGGTCTTCGTATTCATTTATAATGATGAGATGAAGCGATTATGTGGGAATGAGGGTCAAAAAGAATGTAATTCGTATGCTGCGGAAGAAAATGCCGTTACTTCCACACGTGTATTTGCTACTTAAGCTGTTTGTCCAAGTGTATTTGTTACAGACTATTTCCACGTTGTTCGTTGGTCTGTTGTACGTGCTCCAGCTGTTCCTGGCAATGCTGGGCCATTTCGCGGAGTACGGCGCGGTCTGCACGGCCTCCAAACACTCATCCCAAGAGGACCACACTGTACTCGTTAACCGACACGTTTTTTTCGTAACCACTCAAATATCTTCGAACCCTCGCGACTAAGAATAGTGGAACCCACATGCGATCAATGAAAATCTAACTCCGTAAGAATAGATACCCACACGGTGCAGCAGGCGCACCCGGGCGCCAAATGCCAGCGCCACAAAGGATCCGCTTTATTCGCGTCACCACGCGAGCACAACGGTCGCCATCGAAATGTTGGCAGCTTCCTGTCGCTCTCTGACAGTCAAGATTGTCCGGCCGGCTGCGAGTCCCCGGCACATATGGGCTTCGCTCGCTCCAAGCCGGCCCGGGGAGGGGGGGGGGGAGGCGCTGCCCCGGGCGCCGGCGCCCGTCCGACGAACTGAATCAACTTAGCAGCCCAATGTCACCCGTCGCCGTCGACAGCTGAGACCTCGGCGCGATACGTTCGACGCCTGTTTTAGAGGGCATTTAATCAACAGCTGCGTCACTTCGCACGCGGGGATGGTCTCCGCTGACTGCGACGACGCGCCGATGTCTGTTTGGTGCCGTACCAGATCTGGTCATGATTCTGCAGTCCAGTCATGCTAGATCTAGTTCATGCAGTCTCGGCGTCGGCCAAGTGTGCCATGGTCTATTGTTGTGTTGTGATACAAAAATATAATGGTCGGGGTTCAGGCAGTACAGGTATCTGTGGTGTAATGGTCGGGGTTCAGGCAGCACAGGTATCTGTGGTGTGATGGTCGGGGTTCAGGCAGTACAGGTATCTGTGGTGTAATGGTAGCACAAGTAGCACAAGTATCTGCGGTGTGATGGTCGGGGTTCAGGCAGCACAAGTATCTGCGGTGTGATGGTCGAGGTTCAGGTAGCACAGGTATCTGTGGTGTAATGGTCGGGGTTCGGACAGCACAGGTATCTGTGGTGTGATGGTCGGGGTTCAGGCAGCACAGGTATCTGTGGTGTAATGGTCGGGGTTCGGGCAGCACAGGTATCTGTGGTGTGATGGTCGGGGTTCAGGCAGTACAGGTATCTGTGGTGTAATGGTAGCACAAGCAGCACAAGTATCTGCGGTGTGATGGTCGGGGTTCAGGCAGCACAAGTATCTGCGGTGTGATGGTCGGGGTTCAGGCAGCACAGGTATCTGTGGTGTAATGGTCGGGGTTCGGGCAGCACAGGTATCTGTGGTGTGATGGTCGGGGTTCAGGCAGTACAGGTATCTGTGGTGTAATGGTAGCACAAGCAGCACAAGTATCTGCGGTGTGATGGTCGGGGTTCAGGCAGCACAAGTATCTGCGGTGTGATGGTCGGGGTTCAGGTAGCACAGGTATCTGTGGTGTAATGGTCGGGGTTCGGACAGCACAGGTATCTGTGGTGTGATGGTCGGGGTTCAGGCAGCACAGGTATCTGTGGTGTAATGGTCGGGGTTCGGGCAGCACAGGTATCTGTGGTGTGATGGTCGGGGTTCAGGCAGTACAGGTATCTGTGGTGTAATGGTAGCACAAGCAGCACAAGTATCTGCGGTGTGATGGTCGGGGTTCAGGCAGCACAAGTATCTGCGGTGTGATGGTCGGGGTTCAGGTAGCACAGGTATCTGTGGTGTACCTCATTCAGAGGGCATGTGCATATCACGGGAATCTAGGTTTAAGTGTCTAGACAATGATGCTAACTTCAGAGGTTATCAGAGGTTTCAGCATGTCGTGGTCGCATCAGCCTGCTCACGGAATAAATGGAAACAACCGTGGAGGACTCCGTCCGTTTTCTGAGAGGGCTGCAGAGCCGCCGAGCTGTCCCGTCATCTGGGTTGTCCCCCGGCGCCACGTCTGCTCCCCCGGAGTGTTTAGATATAATGCTTATCTGTGGAAGCAGTCGCTAGTAGAGACATGGGCAAAGGAGCGCACACAGGCGTGATATATGTGTCTTGAGTGGCAGGTCAACTTTACCTTACCATGCCTCCAGTGGTATTTTCTCGTCAGCCGGTCCATAGTGTGAGTGTTGCTGAGGCCGTGCTGTAGCCAGGTGCCTTCAAACGTGTATGTTGCTTGCTGCAGTTTAAACCGTGACATGTCATACGACGCGTGAATGAAGGCCGGTGACCCGAGAGCGGCGAGCTGTGATCGGTGGCATCGGTTGTGACAGTCGGTGTGTGTGTGTGTGTGTGTGTGTGTGTGTGTGTGTGTGTGTGTGTGTGTGTGTGTGTGTGTGTGTGTGTGTGTGTGTGTGTGTGTGTGCGTGCGTGCGTGCGTGCGTGCGTGCGTGCGTGCGTGCGTGCGTGCGTGCGTGCGTGCGTGCGCGCGTGTGTGTGTCTTGACCTGGAGGCCGGTGACAGGTGATCGGTGGCCGCAGTGCTGACAGCTGACCAGGACGACCGTTGTTGACCCATGCCTTGATCGTGCGTGGTGACGACAGACGAGTGCCGAGCAGCCTGCGAACAGCGCCGCCCGCGCGGCGCTTTGACCTGATGTGCCCTTCGCGCTGCCGGTCAGGTGCTGTGCAAGCTGTCGCTGGACCGGCCTGACTGCCGGGACCGCGTGGACCGGCTACAGCTGCAGCTGCGCTGGCCCACCTTCCCGGGCGTGCACGCGCTGCTGCTGAAGGGCTGCACCAGCCCGAGCACGTTCGAGCCGGCGCTGACGCTGCTGACGCGCTTCAGCCGGCTCATGGACGTATCGGTCGTGGACCCTTCGCTGAGCTCCGGCTTCCCGCTCAGCGTCATAGCTCTGCTGCCCTATATGGTGCACCACTACGAGGACGCCAACCCGCTCTGCATCCAGAGCGCCGAAAACATCGCCCAGGTGCGTGCGGCGGCGCCCAGCTGCCCGTGGGGTGCCGCGGCGCTCCCGGGGACCTGTCTGCTCTGAGGGTCGCGTCAAAGTGCCAGCGGAGGGCGGATGTCATTAACGACACTCAGCGGGACGTGCAAGTTGGCACGTGACAGCTCAAAGCGAGACAAGGCTGCACGCTCTCACTGGGTCTTCCGCATCGCCTCGTATTACGACCTTGCGTTGCCAGCCATACGTCTGAAGGAATTTGACGTCACTTGCCGCCAGCTGTAAAGACAGAGCTCCGCTGTGGCCAGTGTGTTGTGTAGAGCGCGGCGAATGCCGAGCCTGACCATCTCGCGCTGCGAAGCTGGTCAGCGTCTCGGCGCGTCTGTCGGCACCGAACTTCACGTGACATGCGGTTGGGAGACGAAAGCCTTCGGTTCCCGGGCGCCGCGAACGTTGTGAACTAAGTTTAGACAGTGCAGTTTATGCAGCTGACTGGCGCCGTGTGACCAGGGCAGTTGCCGTTCCCTAAAGCCCACATCATCATCATTATCATCACCACCATCGGTGAGAGATCAGCCGAATTCAGATGGCACGTGCGATATGAGGTCGAATTTTCGCCAGTCAGTGGGGAGGCACAGGACAAAGTGTGGAATGTTTCGCAGACGTGGTCATGGTTTACATGGCGTGGCATACAATGCTCAGAGCCTTTTCCGAAAGCCGGTAAGCGGCATTGGACGTTCGGAATAGGCAAGGCGCCCGAGGCAGATGGCGAGGATCGCAAGAGATACCTGATGACGCACGTGGGCCAGATCAGGGGTTTAGTTTCTCAAAATATGCTACAAGGGACTAACTAAGTTGTTGACTTTTAAGGGTGCGTCAACCGCATTGGATAGTTGTGCCGGACCGAGCAGCAAAAAAACAAAACAACGGATCAACTGCCCCCAAAATTCACAGAAAACGGGTTTCTCGCCTTCTGACTCATTTTCTTCTTAATGTTAGAGGGCTGGAGCCCCCAGTCCGTTTCTTTGTGGAAAACAATCATGGGACGGGCTGGCAAGAAGACCGTTGGCCGTTTTGATGCGGGCAGATGCGCCTGTTGAGTCGCAGGCGGTGCTCTCGCCACGTGCGCTGGTGTATTTCACCACGGGAGCCCTGGCGCACGATCTCCTCGCGAAACCGAGCCGAGGGCGGGGCGTGCCTTGGCAATTTAGACGGAAGCCACAAACAACCTGCGCAGCCTCACTGACGTTGACTTGAAAGGCTGCAGAAATGGAACCAGGCGTGTTGAGAGACTATGGGCTACGCTCCGGTAGCTATGAGTTGTGGAAGGGGCATTCATGTCACAAGAATAACTTTTAGCTTCGCGTGCGTTGTCGGATCTACTGCGTTTGTCACAGGAGCGTTGAGATGTTGGTCAGTGCACACATCGGAAACAAGAGTGGACCAACGGAGGAGTCATGAACAAACCTGCTAGTCTTCGGTTCGGGGTCTGCGAAGGTTTAAGCTGCCCCCCCCCCCCCCCGCCTTCTTTACCAAATTGACCGTCGACTTGAATTATTGTGGTTTGTATACTGTCACTCGATTTAGCTTGTTGTATGGGTAACCTTGACTGAAATAATGTCTCCTCTTATCCTCTAATTGTAAGGTATTTTGAGGTTCGGTCTTTCTTATAGCAGTATGGAACGTGTAGCATTCTTGTCTGAAGTAAAATGTTGCTCGGTTGCGGCAATTGTGAATTTTTCAGTTCCCCAATGAACACATCAGGTCAGTACATAATACGTGCCACAGACTTTTGTTCAGATTAAGTTCCGCGCCGCGCTGTTGTACGTATGCTAATGTTTGCCGCGCTTTTCTGGCCTTGTCGTTGGCTGCTGTGATCCGCTGTAATACTGAGAGGTCCGGGGAAGTATGCGCCCGCAGTGCTCTCGTTAGCTGCTGTGATCCGCTGTAATGTTGAGAGGCCCGGGGAAGCGTGCGCCCGCAGTGCTCTCGTTGGCTGCTGTGATCCGTTGTAATGATCAGAGGCCCGGGGAAGTCTGCGCCCGGAGTGCTCTCGTTGGCTGCTGTGATCCGTTGTAATGATCAGAGGCCCGGGGAAGTCTGCGCCCGCAGTGCTTTCGTTGGCTGCTGTGATCCGCTGTAATTCTGAGAGACCCGGGAAAGTGTGCGCCCGAGGCACCGTTCTCGAGAGTCAGCTTACCACCGTGCCCTTCACCGCGTCACAAACACAGCTCTCAAGCATGCCCAGCGAGCGGCGTGAAAGCGAGGCTGAAGCTCGCCGGTAGTCCAACGGTGTGTTTGAACTTCCTCACTCACCGGGCAGACCGCCCACGACCTACAGGGTCAATGGTGACCTATGGCTGTCTGTCTCCTGGTCGGTATCGCTGCGCAACTAGGCATCGTTTTTCAGAGGGGGGGGGGGGGGGGAGCCAGGCCCGCGTAAACAGTAACCAAACTTTAATCACAGAAGCGCATTGGTGGACTGCAGTATTTGTTATGAAAACAGGCCATTTTGTTTGTGAGCTCTGCCTCCGCCGCTCTAGTGCCTCCTTGCTGCGTAGCTCCCTCTCCGTCGTCACTGCTCTCGGGCTCCTCTCAGTTTGGACGGGACGCAGTTAACAGCAGCGCGAGCGGTCTCAAGCCTTTTACGGCTTCAACACATGAAGTATGAGTCATGTAAACATAATGGCAATCGACTGGATATTGCTAACCGAATAACGTATTTTTGTGTGGATTGCTTTAAAGAGTACCAGCTTACCTTAGCCTTGTAGGTCTCCATCTCCCTGTAGAATCTTCAGCCCCGCCTCCGATTCCTCAGCGGGGAATCTCCGACCGCTGACGTCCACAGCAAGGGAATCTGTCCGGGCCTGAGACAGTGGCAGTTGCAGGCATGATGTCCCTCGTCTGAAGTGAAGACAGAGGCCTGGAACTCTTCCTCAGCTGATGCAGAAGTCCCCTTTCTGCCCACCCTTCATGTTTTCCCTATCGATGTCCCTTGTGTTGTCAAGGTCATGGGAGTAGAGAGAAAGTTAGAGATAGGACTTTGGTAAACTTATCCCCCCCCCCCCCCTCACGAGTGTTTCTTTGGTGTGCTGCTCCATTAGCACGCGGTGAACTTGTGTTTTGATTAACGCACCTTGCCCCACCACGTCACGTTGTTTTGCTCTCAGTTCTACAGTTAGTGGGGTTGGGGGGTTTCGTTGCTGCGTTGAATAACGGTGGTGTCGTTCTTTGCGACGCTGGAGTGGAGCTCTGAACGGAGGTGGCGCCATGGATTTATCGGTGTGTGGGTAGGCGCTTTTATGGGTTCTTCGTCGGATTAGAGGTTTCCGCAGGCGGAATGAGATCTCCTTAAAAAGTCAAGCTCATTGAGCGTCCACCCATGACAGCTACGCTTCTTCGACGCCCGTCGTGTCTGTTTTGTATGGCGCGCAGGGGTGGTGCCACGATCGGTATGTAGGATGGCAGGCAAGTAATTGTTGCGAGCTTCCGCTGCTCCAGTGGGAATTAACATGATAAAGGGTTGTATCAGTGCATTACGGTCTTGATTTCAGGTTTAATGGTGGGTTATAATAACTTTGTAACGCAATCAATAACACGCGACCGGCTGACCGCTTTAATACCTTTCGCTCGGATGGGGATCTAATTCCACCCCCTCCCCCCGAGATTTCCAAAACTAAGAAAGCTAGACACGCCAATTTCACTGGGTGCATTGGCCTACTTGTGAAATCATTTGTGCCAAAATTTGAAGTTTCTAGGTCATGACTTTAGTGTCAAATAAGGCCAAACAATTCAAAAGTCGAATTCCGGATTGGTGTCCTAAGTGCCCCAGACTTTCCTTTGCGACCGCCTTGGACCTGGATAGATGTTGTAAGCAAAATTTCGTTGGTTTCATTTAAGTTCGGTAAACTTTTTTACCTTTCGAAGGTCAAGGAGGCCAAAACCTACTGGATGCTTCTATTTTACCATTTGAAAGAGTATCAGGGACTACACTAGACGGTATGTTTCTAAAACCAAATGCTGCCCGGGTGATATTAGATCAGTGACTGCTCTGACCTTTAAGAAGTACATGGAACATGTCTCGTGGTCCGTGCTATTGATAAATTGAAATTTAGCACCAGAAGCTGCTACTTAAAACAAGCTCTCGAATAAAAAGCCAAGTTAGTTTTAATCTCTGTGTGACCTCCATACCTGGCCGTAGATCATTAGAATTTGTTGCAATGCTAAATTAAATTGTTCTTCTGCCAAAGAAACTTTATTACAGGTTTGTGGCTTCGTCTAATACTCCGTTGTCACATCAGATTGAACGATTACCTGGAAATGGCCTTTGCTAACGGCCACGACCTGACTGTGACCTGCCATAGGTCAGCGGACTTACAAGGTACATCCGATTTTGTGCACCAAAAGATCCATAGTTTCATTGCCTACAGCTATTCAAAGTTTGGGGCGGCCACGTCGCGCCGTTCACAAATCATCCTGCGAACCTTCGGCGGGTTAAAGTGACCCCAACTCGAGCGCATGCCACATATGCATGCAGAATGCTGATTTCGTAGGGGTCGTCCATTAGTTACACTAAATATTTTTAACAACTTGCAGCACCTGCCGCTGGTTACGGACTTGGCAGCCAAAAGTTTCAATAAGTTGCAATTCTAGCATATTGTTGATTTTATACACGAAGGCTGCTGCGGTTACACGGCATGCACCTCCGCTTTCCCACGAGCATTGGGCGTCGATTTCCCCGCTTTCTATTGCCCTGCTCTAAAGGCTCCTTAGATAGCACAATACGTGCCTGCGCGGCTGTCCTCTTGCCGAGCGTAGCAAGCGCCAACGTCCGCTGTTGTCGGCCTGCGCTCGGAAGGGCGGGGAGCGGGGAGGAGGTATGGAGGCGGGTCGCGAGGTGCCTCTGGGTCGATACGCTCCTTGCGTCTGGAAACCATAACGGAGTCGACATGAAGTTACCGTAATTGCCGCTTATTGGCCTCACTAGGCCCCAACAAAAGAAATAACCCGGTCCTGAAATGGATTTCTGTCGAACAGCTCACATCCAGCTAATTTGGACTGTAATTCCTGTCCAGGTGGCGCTGCGTGACTGACGTCTACCGGCTCTGTGAGTCCGACTCCCGTCCACCAGACGAGGCCAGCTGACTGACCTCCGTCAGCACGCTACGGCCTCCGTCCGCTGAAGCTGGGACGCTCTGACCTCCGTCCGCTGAAACTGGGACGCTATGACCTCCGTCCGCTGAAGCTGGGACGCTGTGACCTCCGTCCGCTGAAACTGGGACGGTATGACCTCCGTCCGCTGAAACTGGGACGCTATGACCTCTGTCCGCTGAAGCTGGGACGCTATGGCCTCCGTCCGCTGAAGCTGGGACGCTATGACCTCCGTCCGCGGAAGCTGGGGCGCTATGACCTCCGTCCGCTGAAGCTGGGACGCCACGACCTCCGTCCGCTGAAGCTGGGACGCTATGACCTCCGCCCGCTGAAGCTGGGACGCTATGACCTCCGTCCGCTGAAGCTGGGACGCTATGACCTCCGCCCGCTGAAGCTGGGACACTATGACCTCCGCCCGCTGAAGCTGGGACGCCATGACCTCCGCCCGCTGAAGCTGGGACGCCATGACCTCCGCCAGCTGAAGCTGGGACGCTATGACCTCCGCCCGCTGAAGCTGGGACGTTAGGACCTCCGCCCGCTGAAGCTGGGACGCTATGACCTCCGTCCGCTGAAGTTGGGACGCTATGACCTCCGTCCGCTGAAGCTGGGACGCCATGACGTCCGCCAGCTGAAGCTGGGACGCTATGACCTCCGCCCGCTGAAGCTGGGACGTTAGGACCTCCGCCCGCTGAAGCTGGGACGCTATGACCTCCGCCAGCTGAAGCTGGGACGCTATGACCTCCGTCCGCTGAAGCTGGGACGTTAGGACCTCCGCCCGCTGAAGCTGGGACGCTATGACCTCCGCCCGCTGAAGCTGGGACGCTATGACCTCCGTCCGCTGAAGCTGGGACGCTATGACCTCCGTCCGCTGAAGCTGGGACGCTATGACCTCCGTCCGCTGAAGCTGGGACGCTATGACCTCCGCCCGCTGAAGCTGGGACGCCATGACCTCCGCCAGCTGAAGCTGGGACGCTATGACCTCCGCCAGCTGAAGCTGTGACGCCATGACCTCCGCCAGCTGAAGCTGGGACGCCAGGACCTCCGCCCGCTGAAGCTGGGACGTTATGACCTCCGGCTACCAAAGCTGGGACGCTATGACCTCCGCCTGCTGAAGCTGGGACGTAACAACCTCTATCTACTGAATGAGACGTTATGACCTTCGTCTACCGAAGCTGGGACGCTTTGACCTCCATCCGTTGAAACTGGGACGCTATGATGTCCGTCCGTCGAAGGTGGGGCGCCATGACCTGACTTTGTGACCGGTACTTGTTGACCACAGGCTGACCGATCAGTCGCCCGGAGAGCAAAAGACAAGGCTTAATGTAGTGATGACACGTGCAGGCAATCCCCTGCACGTGCTGGTAATCCCCTATGATCCCCGACTGCCGACCTTTAGTTATGTGGTTCTGTGCTGTGGTGAAAGCTTTGGTTTGGCTGGGACACCGGCTCACGATCCCCGACATCCCGTTACCTCCATCTGCATGTTGCGGATCCAGGGCAGGCAGAGAGCGTGCCCCTGCTCACAGCGCTGCGTTGCTTTCAGTTCTGTTACGGAATCGCTAGTTCTGGGCTTCTGTAACCGCTTTTGCAGCCAGTCAGTTTTTGTGGAGCCGACTTGAACCCACGTGTGCCGCATGAGGCGGAATGAACTGGCCGACTCACACTGAAAATGACCGATCACTAGATATACGAATGTAAGAGAGATCTGTGGAACTACAGAGCTACGCTGTAAAGCTCACGGAAGGTAATGTAACTGAAGAACCGTGCCAGATGTGTTCGGTTCAGGAGTCATTGTGAACAAGGACGTCACACAGAAAGAACGGGGAACGAGGGCGGCGATCAGCATGAGGTCTCTGAGGGGGGGGGGGGGAGGATTTAGTAGCTCTGCCCGACGCTGGGCTCAGCCTGAGGCACATAGCGTACAGGGGCGCCATGAATGGGGACACATGCAGGAGGCGGCACCTGTGCCGTCTGAAAAGCTCCATTGAAGAGCGCTGCGGTGAAAATAGCACGTGTTGCCGGACACGGGCCGCAGCAGCGGATGGTCACACGTGCCGTGGAGCGATCTAAAGGGCCAAATGTGGCGATAGCACGTGCAGGCAACTGACGTCAGTTCTACGACCCGACCAGTTAGTATGCGCTAATATTGAAGTTTTCCCGGTATAAGGTCGGCTGTGCTGAGTCAGGAAGCGGGTCAAAGCTCTGAACCAGAATTGCAGGAAACCTGAGAGACGTGTCCGTGGAAGTGGTCGAAGACTGGTTGCACACGTGAAGGTAAAGCCCCGCCGTGTGGCAGAGACTGGTCGATCAGTACCACTGCTGCCCTGATGCTGAAAGCAGAAGTGTATTAAGTCTTGTCGACATCGGGCTCGTGCATGTGCGTTGGCTATGCCATGGAATGTAAGCGTTTGACATTTCATGTCGTCGACTGCGGTCCGCGGTGTGTTTGGTCCCGCTCTGGTTGCTCCCATCTGGCCCGATGCGGCCCCACCCAGTCATGTCTATTCCGGGAAGGCCCAGCATTGTCCTGGGTATATGCGGTCTGGCTCGGTTGTTCTAGCCCTATCCGGTCATGTCGTGGTCCGTGAAATACGGGCCGCTTGTGTCCTACATATCTTTATGTCCGGTGTTGTTCGATCAGGTGCCTCTCTAACTGTCTGTCCTATCCTGGCTGACTAGCTGGGGATCTGGCCATGTAGAGGGAGCTGCACCCAGTTATTTGCTTTCGTCACTTTATGTTCATTGCGAAATAAGTAATCATACCACGACGCGACACGTCTCATTCCACCACACGCTGAGGCAAGGGCGTGGTAAGCTACTGCAAGGCAAGGACTGCTTTTTTACCGCAGACGCCACGGAGACCGCCTCGACATTTATAGTTCGTGCATGATCCTATCAATCAAATGCTCTGTAATTGTGGTATCTGTGGGATGCTGGCGGATTTACTTGAGATGAATGATGGCCTGGTCGGCAAGCTTACGTGCGGTTTTTCTGTGAAGCACCTGTTTTAAAGAATGAAAATACGTAAAAGTACGTGATCAGACATCGGAGTTCGCTGCGCACTTGTTTTCTGTGGCTGGTGCGTCACCTTCCGCTGTTTCTCATTCTCCTCGTTATTGGTCGGCAGGTGTGCATGGAGAAGAGTAAGAAGCTGGACAACCTGGCCACCGTGATGACGCTGTACTCGCGGCGCACGTTCAGCAAGGAGAGCTTCCAGTGGACCAAGTGTGTTGTCAAGTACCTGATGGACACGTACACCCACCTCAGTATCCCGGTGATGACGTTCCTGGTCGAGGTGAGCGCCGCGCCGCGCCGCGCCGCGCCGCGCCGCGCCGAGGCGTGCGCCGCCCGCCATCGGCGCCGCGTGCCCTGCTGTCCCGCCCAGTGTGCATGCGTCCGCCAGGAGCTCCGGCAGGCCGGGTCACCGGTGTGTGCGGCGTTCGGAGCACTGGCGTGTGTCGGCGCGCGGCCGGGCGGCGGCGCTGACCTGACCCGCCTGCCCTCGGCGGCGGGCCGCGGTGCTCCGGAGCGTCGGCCGATGCCGGCGGCGGCGCCAGCGCGGCCGGCATCGGTCAGCGCTGCGGCGGACGTCTGAAAGCGGCGCGGCCAGCGCGGCGGCGGCGCGCCCGATACGGCGCCATTAGGCGGCCGTGTCGGCGGCGGCCCCTGTCACGGCGGCTCGCGAGCCATTGAGTGCCGCCGCCCGGCGCTGTCAGTCCGCGCCGCTCCGGCCGCGCCCTGCCGAATGCCATGCAGACGGGCCATTGGCGCCCACTGGTGGGTCAGGAGGGGCCGCGAGACTCCCGCGTGCTCGTATGGCGCCGAGACGGAGCGTAAATGGCCAGCTGTGTGATGGTGGTGACACCTCATCGCGCTGGGTGTCACAGCAGCTGGCGGGTCGCGGTCATGATGTATTGCATCCAGCTCACAGCGGCTCTGACCGGTGTCCGTGGGGCCGGGTGCGAGCGTAACGGTTACCACATGGTGGGCAGCGAACCTTAGCCTCGTCACTAGCCAGGCGATGGATACACGATTCTAACCCCGAAAGGGAATGTTCCACGTTTAAAGATATTGAAGCAATTATCAGATATGTTGGAAAAAGCTCGCTTGTAACGATCGGTATACTTCAAGTGGAAAAGACTGCTCTAGACCACAAAATTGCTCCATTTAGTAAATATGCCCCCAATGCGCCCTTGCCTGAATGCGTCATGAAATATTTGTGACGATAAGGTGCTGCCAAGCTCGCCTGGCAAAATTCCCACCCTAGCACTCACTTCAAGCACTTCTATCTCCTGATAGGTGGCCGGGCGGTGCTAGAGGTGTTGCTAGACCATATGCAGTGATGCGCTCGTATTTTGGTCATGTTTTGTGCTCATGTTTGTCAGTCATTTTTAGGTGTTTACGTTTGTTGACGTACTCGCTTACGGCTCTATTCTTAAAGGGAATGCTTCACATTTAAAGCATTAAAGATACGAAGAGATAGATATTAAAGATATGAAGGTGTTGAGCTTGTTTCATGTATTGTGCTGTAGAGCACAAACCGTAATCTTATTTAAACAATCGTTCCTCTCGTCCCTTTCTCGCTTCATGCTGCATCGTCGCGACATCCCGCTTGACCGGCTCAGGATGCACGCGTCAACTCTGAGAGAGCCGAAAGCCCCGTGGGAAGGGGATCTAGACCGGTCGCCCAGCGCGTCCGCGCGGGTTAAAGCTCGGCGGCTGCCCCCACCCAGGTGCATGCACGTCTGCCCCACCATTAGCCATTTTCTTTCATGCCATAGCCCTGAAATGACCATTTTTGGTCGAAAGGGCTCTAATCCAAACGACCAAACGAGTCCTTTTAGAAGCCCACATTGTTGGTTGAGCGGCAACTGACGGCCGCTCGATCTGGAAATCGTGCTCACGAACGCCAGATATGAACGTCCCAACGATCTTAGTCGTAGATAACCTTGTAACCGTGAAGTGGTCTGCATGATCTAGTCTGCATACTGTCGTGGACGTGTAGCTCAGAAATAAGGGGGTTTTATTTTTAAAGATGAGCAGAGCCGTGAACTGCATCGAGTAATCATCAGGATGGTAATTTCAGTTCCAGTCCGCCTGCAAATGTGAAACGTTCCCTTAAATGCGCGGCTTTCGAAATTGTGCGGCTGCCTTTTCACTTTCCCAAGCGCAGAGTCGACACAAACGAGGCAAACCTGATTCCGTTTTGCCCCATATTTTTCTGCCGCATGTGCTACCTACGGCTGCTGCCGTCAGCTGCCCACTGTCCCGGTGTTCCGTCGCGGGACACCGGGACACCGGACCGAACCGACCTGCTGCTGGTCTCTCGAGTGCCGTCGCTGCAGAGCACAGAAGCATACCCAGCGCCGGCGGGCGAGGTTAGATGCTTGCACGCAGGCTGGGGCGCATAGAACAACTTGCTCGCTTTTGTGGAAAGCATTACGTGCGTGCTTGCTAGACATCGAGCTGCGGGGCATTCCCCGAAGGGTGGTTGTTGCCATTAATGGGGTGATCATTCGACGCCATTCTTAAGCAGCAGCATTGTTCTGCACCAGCCCACCATGGTTAGCTGCTGGCACTAATCTCCAAGCCAATGCCGGAGCTTCTTAAAGATGTGGATGGCGCTGGTGGCGTTCCCGTGTTTGGCTGCGGAATCCTCTTTATGCTTTGGATTCATAGACCGCATCCGGTGTATATTAGCTCCGTTACTGTCCCGGGCATGTTGATACGACATCGAAAACTCTGGGCTCTTCTCCGCTGTCGGTGTAAAAACGGTTTCTCCTGACTGGCATCTGGGGTCGAGCGGGGCGGGCATACCCCGTGACTCTTTTTTGTTTTGGGGTTGGGGTTCGTCCAGCGGTTTCGTGGTCACTGTCTGGGCTCTTGGCTTTCTCGGGTGTCGCCGACCGGGGTGACTGGTGAGTCGTTAACTGGTGATTTGTATGAAGCATGGGGCACTGCGACTCCCCATCGACCGCGGAGCCCAGCTGAGGGACAGCCCGGTCATCTAGAGCGAGATGGCACCCCAGGGCTACCCCGGTGCTATGCGGGGCGGACGACAGCTCCCACACGGCCAGGTGTAACCGAGGAAGCCCCTCCTTTTTCTGTCAGTGGTTCAGCGCCCCGTCTCTTGGCCCCTTGAAGCTATGGGTCCATGTTTGGGGATATAAAAGTAAACATTAAATATGATGAAATAGGCACACTTATGACCATCGGTATACTTCCAAGTGGAAAAGACTATTCCAGAGGACACAATTTTTCCGTTTAGTAGACATGCCCCTCAAGACGTCATTGTTTGACAACGTCGTCGCACCGTCCACAGCATCGACTGAGAGCCAACTGACGGCCGTTATATCTGGAAGTCGTGCTCATGAACGACAGACATCAGCGACTCCACAATTTTATTTGTATTGGCCTTGATGACCTGTTGGCTAATGCGATGGCAAGATTTGCATCACGTTAGTATAGCATCATGGATGCCAGGGTGACCTTAAAATAGTTACCCCGAAATAGTCTGCACATCTTCGCGGACCTGTAGCTCAGAAACTAGAGTGGCTCAGCTCTAAAGAAGGGTAGGGCTTCGAACCGCACGGGATGATCTTCAAGATGGCTTTTTTAGTTCAATGTCCCATGCAAACGTGAAACATTCCCTGTAAGCCGTCGAGAGCAGTCAGGCGGAGACCAAGCTTTGCCAAACCGAAGGGCACCCGGCATGCAGCGCAGGCGACAAGCCACTTGGCCCGCGTGATGCCCCGTCCCCCTCTCCACGCCCCCAGATATACCGGCTAAAGTGGAGTGTTGGGCGCGTCGCGACTGACCCGCACGGCGCGCCCCTCAGCCGCCAGCATCAGATCAACCCGGGACGGAGGCGATTGGGGGAACGGTTCCTGATAAAGCGAGGATGAAGAGTGGTGAAAGGGCGGATTTTTTTGTACGGTGATGGGAGTGATGGTGAAGAAGCTGGCAGAACAAGAAGCTGGAGCTCACGTCCCAGCCGGGTCGCTGAAGCGAACAGCTTGTGCCGGCCACCCGTCACCGAGGCTGGCACCCGGGGGGACGCTACTCCCCCACACCGGCCGAAACCGGTGCCTTTGCAGGCTTGTGTGGGGAGGCGAAATGAAACTTGACGTTCGTGACCCGTTTTATGAACACCGCGGTAGAGATTTTAGCAACAGCAAAAAACACGTTTTTCTCAGGGTACGAAGATTTATTGCACAGTCGTTATCTTCTCCAGAGGTTGAGCATCCACGCGTTGTCCTGGGACGTGAACGTTCTGGTGCCTAGCTTTTGGGCAACTTGACATGACTTTTGAACCACGTTGTTTCGTGATGTGCGTTTAGAAACAGTTCGCACGGTCGTTTTGGCGAACACGGACATTCGTCGCTTTGTTTCTTCTTGTGTTTGTGTTCGGTGCGTGTCTTCAAACCCGTTCGGTTTAGCTTTCTATGCTCGTGCAGCCCTCAGCACAGTTACAGTGCCGCGTATTGGATGGCGGGGTGTGAGTACCTGAAGGACTGAAATGCACGTGGTGTTTGTGTCATTTTCTTCAAGTGTGACGTTTGCGGTAAACTCGTTATAGGACCTTGGTGGCAAGAAGTGTGAAGTATCATTAAAAGTCTATGCCTTAAAACCAGCCACGTTGTGCTAAAAATCTGCCGCGTTTTACAGTTCATTTTTCGTTGTCCTGACCAAGGTGGTATCTTGCGAAAAACCTATCAATATTTGCAGACCGGCCTGACGTATAGAGGAGTTGGAATGATAGTTGTAAGGTACCTACAGGATGCTACTTGGCGCAACATGAACATGAATCAGTTGTGATGTCTTCGGGTACCTAGTGCACCAGCATTTCCGGGGAATGTTCTGTGTTGACGTGGCCCAATACTCCCTTTTGTCCATGTTCATTGAGGGCTCAGAGGAGAATCGAGGTGCTCTCCCGCCGGAAAGATATAAAGTGACGTCACCGCCCCGACGTCACCGCCGGGCATGGCCTCCCCCGCCGCCGAGCCGTGCTCGTCTGGAGTGTGGAGCGTGTCGCCTCAGTGCCCACCAGTGTGGGGCGAGGCGGGCTGGCGCCGCGGAGGGACGCGTCCCGGGAGTCCCCGTCCCCTCGACCGGCGCCCGTGTAGCATCCTCGGTGTAGCATCCGGGAGCGGACCGTCGGTGTGGGAGGCGAGTCTCACCAGCGATATTGCGCCCGGCGTCGGCCAGCAAGTAATGAGTCCGCGGGCCGGGGAGGCCCGCGACGCCCGAGTGTTTGGCCGGGCGTGCCGTGAGCGGCTGGCGGTCGTCCGTGCCGTGCGGATGGGCCACTCAGTCGCCAGCCGCAGCCAGCGACGCCGGCCGGCGACGAGCCGCAGCCGGTTGTAGCTCGTCCTTTGCAGCCGGCTCGGACGGCCACAGCCAGCGGCGCCGGTTGTAGCTCGTCCTTTGCAGCCGGCTCGGACGGCCACAGCCAGCAGCGCCGGTTAGAGCTCGTCCTTTGCAGCCGGCTCGGACGGCCACAGCCAGCAGCGCCGGTTGTAGCTCGTCCTTTGCAGCCGGCTCGGACGACCGCGGCCAGCGGCGCCGGTTGTAGCTCGTCCTTCACAGCCGGCTTGGACGGCCGCAGCCAGCGGCGCCGGTTGTAGCTCGTCCTTCACACCCGGCTCAGACGGCCCCAGCCAGCGGCACCGGTTGCGGCGCGTCCTTCACAGCCGGCTGGGACGTAGGCTGGGTCTAATAGCAGCAGTACCGTGCATTGTAAGCCGTGTGACGTCTGTACTCAGGCTTGTCGTATTGGGCTGAGCGCCGGAGCGGACAGAACCAGTCAGCCTGTCGGGCTGAGCGCTCGGGCCGGCCGTAGTTTGGGCTGACTGGCCCTCCTCCGCCGCCGCAGGTGCTGGAGAAGGGGCCGCCGTTCGTGCAGCAGCCGATCCTGAACGTGCTGCACTGCCTGTTGCACTACATGGACCTGGGCCAGACGGCCAACCAGCCCATCAACGCCGACCTGCTGCGCTCGATCGCCCGTTACGCGCAGGTTGGCAGCCGGCCTGCCCGGCGACGATGCGCCAGTCGCACTCTCCGCGCCACCAGCCGGCGGCCAGCTCGCCGCCCGCCTCAGCTCAGATTGGCAAACTGGGCGGCTCGTTAGGCGTTCGATGGCGGCCGTTCTGGCCGCCGGATAGGCAGCGGCGCCGAAACAACCTAACGACGTCTCTCCATCCGCCTCGGTTTCGTCAGCTCCGGCTGGACCGCGTTGCCCGCCTCATTGGTGGCTGTTGTCCCTGTTTCTCAGTATTCACCTCATTCTCCCATTCACGGCATTGACTGATAATGATATAAACTGAGAAAGGGGATCCTGGTTGACGCAAACTGACCTAATGGGCAAAGCGTCCTCAACCCCTTCCCTCTCCCTCATTGTCAGTGTCATTGATGTTACCGCCAGCAGCCTGCACTTGCGTCGCTATTTTTATGTTGTCGTTATTGTAATCACCATTAAGACTTCCTTTTGGTTCAGCAAAGGCCAAGTGAGGTTCTCACTGAAGTTTGTCGTCACGCGAGATGATACCAAAACTTAATTGACTTAGCTGGACACCCATTAATAATATGGAGATTGGTCGTATGTTTGGACATGTCCCGTGCGCCCTTGTGGAGCAGCAGGCACAGAGATGTGCCGACATAGTGTTCTCGCGCTGGCTCACTAACAGCATGGAGTCCGAATAGCTGGTTTCCGTTCCACATCTTAACCTGGATGATATGGATGATAGGATATCTGTGTCACTGTTCAGGTTGTGTGCTGGCCCTGACCCGTGTCACTGGAGTACCTGACCCGTATCACTGGAGTACCTGACCCGTATCACTGGAGTACCTGACCCGTGTCACTGGAGTACCTGGCCCGTATCACTGGAGTACCCGACCCGTATCACTGGAGTACCTGACCCGTATCACTGGAGTACCTGGCCCGTATCACCGGAGTACCTGACCCGTATCACTGGAGTACCTGGCCCGTATCACTGGAGTACCTGACCCGTGTCACTGTCAGTCCCGTGTCCTGGCTGTTTCTGTCAGCGTCTTGTTTTGACCCTGACCTGTCACTGGACGCGCCGCCAAGGCCGTGCCCTGACCGTGGCCTGCTCTACCAGCAGGGGCAACACTGGCGCGAGGCGCTGCGTATTCTCAAGCTGGCTGTGACCCAATGCTCGACGCTGGCGGCGGCGCCGACCAGCGGCCTGGCGCAGGCCGCCGACGGCTCCGGCATCCACGTGTCGTTCGTCGAGGCCGAGCTGGTGGCCAAGAAAGAGCTGCCTGGTGAGATCCGAACCCGGTCGCTGTGAGCCGACCCTGGTGGTGGCCGCTGCACCTGCTCGCCTCTAGCCGCCGACGCCGGTGGCAAGCGATGTTGCGGTGCGGTGGCAAGTCGTGTGCGAGTGATAACAGTCGTCGGTTACATTTGGCCATGCGCCCAAGAGCAGCAACGAGTCGTAGATGATGTGGCGCCGTAGTGGTGGCTGCAGCATTCCGCGGCAACTTTTTACGTGGGTGAGGAATTACCACGCTGAGACGCAAGCAGATTACCAAAGGTGCCGCGTTGCAAAGCTTCTTTACGTCGCCGCAGAGTTTGTTTATAGACACACACTCCGAGGGCTGTGTGTCTTGGTGGCGGAAACGGTGTCGTCAATCCCCATGCGCCGCAAAGTTTAGTGCCTTCTTTTGGGCGCCTGAAAGCTTTTCGTGATTCGGCAGAGGACTGAAGAAAGCCTTCCCTTCAGATCAGTTCAAAACAAGAAAGAAAACTACGCATTGCTGCATGTGGAGGCAAATATTGCTGTGTAAGCCCCCGGTGATGACTTTGCAACTCAGTGGCCTGGCCTAACGTCGATAAATGTCTTCGACCAGGATCAGTCGACTTTATCATTCGTCAGACATGGAAAATGTAGTGTAAATACCTGGCACGCCGCGGACAATGATGATCAGATGGTCGGCGATCATCTCAGTCAACATCTGGTCAGTTGGCTCCTAGTCAGGACTGTTGATGATGTGATATAAGAGAGTCTCGGTCGGGTCCACGTGCGTAGGTGTCTTGATGAGTTGCAACAGGCTAAGGTCTTTCAAAACAGGGCTGAAACGACGCACACCAGGACCGTCCGCCTCTAAAAGGTCTATGTATACATATATATATATATATATATATATATATAGGTCTATGTATATATATATATATATATATATATATATATATATATATATGTGTGTGTGGGTGTGCGTGTGGGTGTGGGTGTGGGTGTGGGTGTGTGGGTGTGGGTGTGGTGTGGGTGTGGGTGTGTATGTGTATGTATGTATGTATGTATGTATGTATGTATGTATATACATCAGCCAGGCAGAAGGCCGCCTTGCCCAGGCTCACAGCAGCACTTAGTTGGTTATATAAGTCAGCCAAACCGTCTGGTACCGGCTGAGATGGTGGACGGTAGATGACGTCAACACAATGATGACAGCAAGAGAACGGTGTCCCCGCCCGAGATCGGCACCCAGAACAACTCGTAGGCACATTCGGTGCTCTTAATTGGAAGAAAGCTTATAGCGAGGTTTTCCCGACACACGATGGCAACACTACCACCTCGGGTCTCAACGGGGCGGTCTCGATGCACCAGTCTATAACCGGGGAATGCCAGTATTTTGTCCGTGGCAAGAACTGATAGCCACGTCTCAGTGGCACACATATGCCAAGGTTTTGCTTGCCAAGAGTATGGAGCACGGGGTCCATCATAGATACCAATGACCGGACACTCGAGTGACCGATGACCAGTTCATGTACGGGTTAACTACAGTCAGTGGTCTGACTGCGGTTGGAAAGGTGATAGGTCTGATGAAGGCTGAGCCGGAACAACGCACGGTTCAACGGGCGCCCGGTCGAGTCCCTCGGAACAGGCTCAGGTCCTGGCGAGCATTTAAATCATCTTTGCAGGTTACGTAGGCACGGAGTATATTGTAGAGCAGCATATTGCTCACTGCATAGTTCTTTTTAACCCAAGTCATGTATGCATCCCAGGACGACACCGTTGTCCACTACGCTGACGATGCGTATTTCTGATTCCAGTAAATGGCGCTAGCGTATGCCGAGGAAACGCACATTGTTCGCAGCACTGAGATTGCGTTCGCGTTGTTCGTGGGAACGCGTTGGGACCAGTGTTATGTCTGTCATGAGGCTAAACCATCCTGTCTGTTCTGTGGGACCGCCGCTGTGAGACGCCCGTAGCGAGGAGACTGCATTTGGGCAGCTCGGCTTGCGTTTGGGTTGAGCTGCAATGGTATGTGCGTTGTTGCTGCTCTACATTGGCCGCACCACAAGGCTTCAGTTGTGTCAAGTTGTGTCTTCAGTCGAGACAGATTGCACCGCCGAGGGGACGTCATTGCCACGGGTGGCCGCGGGGCTGTACGTTCAGCCCGCCACAGACTGGAGTGGGGCAGTCGGTAAAGTGTCTGCCACCCGCCTCAGACGGGATCGGGGGGAGTTAGCAGAGTGTCTGCCACCCGCCTCAGACGGGATCGGGGGACTCGACAGAGTGTCTGCTACCCGCCTCAGACGGGATCGGGGGGAGTCGGCAGAGTGTCTGCCACCCGCCTCAGACGGGGTCGGGGGAGTCGGCAGAGTGTATGCCACCCGCCTCAGACGGGATCAGGGGGGTCGGCAGTGTCTGCCACCCGCCTCAGACGGGATCGGGGGGAGTCGGCAGAGTGTCTGCCACCCGCCTCAGACGGGGTCGGGGGAGTCGGCAGAGTGTCTGCCACCCGCCTCAGACGGGATCAGGGGGGTCGGCAGTGTCTGCCACCCGCCTCAGACGGGATCGGGGGGAGTCGGCAGAGTGTCTGCCATCTGACAGCGCTCGGTGACGGCGCGTGTCCCCCGGCTGAGCGCCACGTCAGCGGCCGGGACCTCCCGCAGTGACGCCCGTGCCGGCCGCGCCCGCAGGCCGCACCATGGAGTTCACGTTCGACGTGTCTCAGACGCCCATCATAGGACGACGCGTGACCAAGCCGAGCGCCGAGCCGGCCGCCAAGGAGGAGAGCGCGTCCCCTCGCCGCTCCGTCTCCACCCTGCTGGCGGACGTGACCAGCGGCGGCTGGAAGCGGCCCTGGCTGTCCCAGGTCGGGCTGGGTGCCGCGCCGCGGCCGGGCTCGCCGCTGACAGTGGCGGACCGACGTCCGCCGCCGCTCGGCGCCTCTGGGGCGTGCTGGGGTTTGTGACTGCTGGAGCCCGGGTGCCCTGTCTGAGTTACCGTTGCTTGTTGCTGTAGTGCAGCGTGCTGTGCTGGGGAGACGTCCCGGTCAGATCTAGAGCCAGATGGTGAGGCGGTGCGAGGCTGGACTGGCTGGGTGTGGCTCGCTCTGTGTGCCGCGTGGCCCGTTGTTGACGCTGCCGCTGGGACCCGTACGCCGACGGCCGTTCGCCCGATGCTCACCGAATTCGGCCCGGTTACAGAGTCGCACGCGCGACCGCCTGCTGAACCTGCTCATCAGCTGCGGCACGCGAGTCGGCCTGCCCAAGAGTCCGTCGGTGAGTGGGAGTGACCAGCGGGTGTGGGGGGGGGGGGAGGCAGGGGGGCTTTCGCTGAACATGGCCAGTATGATTTTTTCATCTAACGTACCGATGTAACGAAACCTGTCGTTTGTGACACGTGACAAGCTGCTGACTGTGACCACGGCGTAACTTGCGGAAGGGCATCCATGGATGATAATCATGATGACGTGTGGCGCGCAGGTGATCTTCAGCCAGACGTCGGACATGCTGGAGCGCCAGTCGTCGATGGCCTCGTCGACGGAGGAGGTGTCCGGCGTGCCGCACGAGTCGGCCGAGTCGCTGGACGAGCACGAGGCGCAGCAGTTCGGCGTCATCCGCGAGTTCGATTTCCTCGAGTACGAGCTGGAGAGCCAGGAGGTAAGCGCGCTACACTCGGCCGCGCTCGTGCTGGACTGTGTCTCACTGTATTTTACAAGGCCATTGTTCCGCTCAGTGGAGATTTAGCTGGAGGTGGTCTCCAGCTCGCAGGGCAGCCGGCGATCGATCGCGTGGCCACGGCGGGCGGCAAAACGACCTGCCAGATTCGGCGGGCCGTGTCGCGGGTGTGTCTGCGCACAGGCTTGAGCCGTGGATATGGGATGTTTGAATATTGTCCACTTGCATTTCGGTAACGATTTCAGATTCCTACAGGTGCTTGATGGATCACATAAGTTTTACTTTTCATGCGTCACACGTCAGCTGTTGCGTGCGACTTAGACGCGTACATAGCGTTTTCATCCCATTGAAAATTCGCAAGATGTAGCGCAGAAGTTTTAAGATCGGTAAGTATACGGCGAAACAACGGAATATAAAGCAACTAGCTGTTTGTCGTAGGTAAAATTACTGTTTGTATGATTTAGCAGTTATTTTCCCAGCGTATATAATTTACCCGGTGGCGAGGTGCAAACCAAACTGGTTGTCCGGAATGACCTCGATATATTTCCAAGGCCTGACAAGCCGTGGGAAATTGGTTTGTTCCCGGGACCTTTGAATGAATTGAGGAAGACTTTCCATAAGAGTTCATAAAATGGCGATGTTTCTTCTCATCACCCAAAAGTACACTCGATCCTGACACCCTGCACTAGCCATCAGCTGGTGACGTGACCGGTTAGCTTGTCTGAAAACCAGCAAGCCGTATTGAGCGTCAGTCAGCAAACAACACGCTAAATTTGTATTCCGTACATTTGGTGCATAGCTTGTATTGGCTGCGTGTTCACCCATCTGTTACCGCACCTGTAAATGTGAGCTTACCACCCGATGGTGACCAATCAGGGAAGTAAACTAATCGTACCCTTGGATTAAAGTAGACTTTGCGGTGGGAGTCTACGCGTAGGGTAGCACCGCTTACGAGGCTCTCAGATGTTTACTGTCCAGTTTTGGGGGGCAAGTGTTTGTGGCACATGACCAATCTGACAGGGTTTGACACGGGAGGCAGGCCATTATTTGCCGAAAACGGACAAATACAGAAAGCCAATAGTTTGCCACTGTTGAATGCCGACTGCTACCGTTCGGGGCGGCACTGTACCAGCCCGGGGAGCTAGGCGCCAAACTGTTGGCTTTCGTGACGTCTGGTCTGGCTGGCGGGCGCGCTATAGCGCGGCGGACGGAGGTGTGGCCCGGGCAGCCGGCCTGGCCACGTGTGACACCGGAGCTCAGACGGGTCACGCTCGGCGCCGCCGCCCCGTGAGACTGGACATCCGTCGACCGCGGCGCCGTCGCCTGGCCACGTGTGACACCGGAGCTCAGACGGATCACGCTCGGCGCCGCCGCCCCGTGAGACTGGACATCCGTCGACCGCGGCGCCGTCGCCTGGCCACGTGTGACACCGGAGCTCAGGCGGGTCACGCTCGGCGCCGCCGCCCCGTGAGACTGGACGTCTGTCGACCGCGGCGCCGTCGCCAGGCCTGCCGTGTGACACCGGAGCCCAGACCGGTCACGCTCGGCGCCGCCGCCCCGTGAGACTGGACGTCTGGCGACCGCGGCGCCGTCGCCAGGCCTGGCGTGTGCCGGCTTGTCACCTTTGAACGCCCACCGCACCACTCCTGTGGCCGTTTGATGAACGCGGACGCGGGACAGATATTCGGGGCTCCCTGGGTGGATTGCGTCATCTGTTTCAGTGGAGGCGCGCGCTCCAATATTCCGTGGCGTTTGTGTGATGTGACAACCGTGATGTGTGCGAGTCACCGGGCGTGTTTGGGACAATAGCGAAGATTTAGAGGCTTTAATCTTGGCCGCCGCATGGTTCCGTTCGTATTGAGGCGGCCGCTGGTCGATCGCGGGGCCTACAGTCGCATGGCGGGCAGCCTGGGTGGCAGCGCTGACTGGACGACGCTAACCTGGACGACTCGGGCGGCGGCAGCGAGCGGTCTCTGTGTCTCCTCCCGTTGCTTTTTCATGGGCTGAAGCGGTGTGCACGTGACGAACGCAATCAGCACGGGATGGGCGATGGTCTCCCACTGACAGCCGCGACTCCAGTTCAGAGGTTTCGCTGTCGTGTTGACAATGGTCGCTAGTGAAGGCCGTTGCCAGCCGCCTATAATCCGCTGGGTCGGCTGATTGCTGTCGTTAGGTACACCTGTTGCCGGAGTGGGAACTGTGAGCTCCTGTCTTTTATCAAGGCGTGACGTCATATATAAAAGTGTGACGCACCAGCTCGTGGTCCCCACCCCCACCTCCCGGCTAGTTGGGGAATAGTTTTGGTTTATGGTTGCCATTTCGAACGCAATGTGGTTCTCGTGCGGTCGTGTGGCTGACATATGTGGCTCAGTGTCGTCAGGGATCGGGGCGGCGCCACTCACAGTCGCCCGTTCACGGTCTCGAGTAGGTGGAAAAATATCGTTGGAATTTCTCGAACGTCGCTTCGATGGCTGAGCCGCCGGGGTCAGATCTCGGAGGCACGGGACGGCGCGCCGTGCGGCAACGGACGGGTCCCGAGGCACGGCAGCAGGACTGCGGTCGGACCGCGGCTCCTGCGGCAGCAGGTGCAGCCGGACCGCAGCTCCGGTGGCAGCAGGGCTGCAGCTGAGCCGCGGCTCCGGCGGCAGCAGGCAATCGCGCCGTGCCGCCGCCGGCGCTGGGGGGCTCTCATGGTCTGACCTTTCTGAACGATTCACCTCGGCCCCGTCACGACTGCCGTCAGGGTCGCAAATGTCAATTGGATCGTATAATTACTCTTGGTGGTCTTCTGCGAGAGAAGAACTGTAAGTGGTTTGACACCGATAATATATCGAGTGCGCCGATGCACACGACACTAATGCTGGTTCAAACGTGGCCCAGGCCCAACTCTCTGACTCTTCTGTGGCAGTAAGCGTATGCGGTTGTCATCCTGCAATGCTTGACTTCCAATCAGGCCACCATCAAGCACTTTTCGCACCGTGCCTGCTCACACCGTCACACCACCGTACTCAAAGACGTCGACGTCTCTTTTGGACACGTTTATGAAGGTCTGATATTTGTTTGTTCGCCTGACACCTGCGTTTCACTATGAAACAACTGCATAGTTCGTCGCATGTACCTGGACAAAGCATTGCAAAACTGAGATACGTTGGAAGTCACTGCTACCGATGCAGCCTCACGGCGTGTGGCGACAGCAGGTGGTACAGCCATGCTTTGGTGGACCATGGGCGTGGTGGTTTATCAACCAAGGGTGCGTTCGGCGGCATACCAAACGCTGCCCCAACGACAGGCCTGGCGCGCAGCCCGAGCGGGCGACCAGCCCAGCTGGCCCCCGCTGAAGGCGTCAGCTGACCCAGAGACTCGCTTGCGTCACATCTGTATTGGCCTCCCTTTCTTTAAACAGGGCCGAGAAGTATACGATTTATGCGCACTATCGAAGGTGCAGTTGTCGGTGGTGGCATTTCGTTCGTCGTGACGGACCATACGTTGATGTCACGCCTCTGCGTTTGGAGACTGAGAGAGTGTGCGCTGTCGGGTTTTCAGGCGCAGCGATAGGGATAGTGCTGTTCTGCTGACGGTATTGGCAGGACGTTGTTCATAGGAGGATGGCATGCTGTGTAACGAAAATGAGGGCGAATGCCGTAAGGGTGTGACTTGCCGTCCCGTCCGCCCGGGTAAGAGTGTAACCTGTCGTCCTGGTGACATTTAGTGTCGACGTAGTGGAGCGGGCGATGGTTGCCTGTATGCTACCAGCGGCTTGGTATGTGCGCGGGCGGAGCCCGTGGTGGTCTAGCAAGGTTGCGGGATTGGTAATAGCTGGCAGACGTTTCACGCTTTTCACTGTGTGTGCGCGAACCATGTTGTGGTTGTCGTGCTCTAAACCGTCTGCCGTACGCCTGCCACTGCTGACCTGACTGACCCGGCAGGGCGAGAGTCTGGACAACTTTAACTGGGGCGTGCGGCGCCGCTCGCTGGGGAACCTGGAGCCGGAGGAGGCGGCCGCGCCGCCGGCTGACTCGTCGCTGCTCTCGCCGCGCCACCTGGTGCCGGGCAAGGTGAGCATGACTCCGCCGTCGTCCGGCCCCACAGGCGCGCCGTGTCCGCACGCCCGGGCTGCCAGCTGGCGGCCGCCGCTTGTGCGGCTTGTCACAGAAGCAGTTGGCATGTGGCAGTCTGGACAAGCTGTTTGATTTTAGACGCTTTGTGGTGCTGCGGCGTCTGTGATAGATTGAATAAGCGCATTTTGTCGATTATTGCCACTGGAGTGCTGAGGTGAAACTTGTATGTGTAACTGGTGCTTACGATGGTTAGTGCTACGGTTTAGGGTTAGTTATGTAATATCGTTAGCCATCTAGTACCAGCACTACCACCACTAAGTGTGCCGACAGGGATGCGCGGTGCCAATTACTGGCCGTGCCTTGGTCGCATCTTGTTTGGTTGGAGCGCCCTTCGGCGGTTCCGGTTCATTGGTCGGATGGTCGCTCAAGAGGGACATTTTGGTTCGGTCTGTTCCGTTCGTAGGTAGATGAATGGGTATAGCTCGGTTTGCATCCAGCGTGGCTGACTGCCCGCCCCGCCCCGCCCCGCCACTCCCGGACCCTGGCGCGCCGCTGTTCCTGACTGGCTCGTACACAGCTCCTATCCTGGTCCTGACCTCCCTCCGGCTTCGGTCCTGATCCTGATCCAGCTCCACAGGTTACCCTGACTTGACTCCAGACCTGATCTGCCGTGGTTTGATTCTGACCCTGGCCCTGACGTCGCTCCTACCATGACCCTGTCCTGGCTGCTGGCCTGACCTCGATCTGATCCGGTGCCGGCCCTGGCCCTGGCCCTGACGCCGCTCCTACCGTGACCCTGTCCTGGCTGCTGGCCTGACCTTGATCTGACCCGGTGCCGGCCCTGGCCCTGACCCTGGCCCTGACGTTGCTCCTACCGTGACCCTGTCCTGGCTGCTGGCCTGACCTCGATCTGATCCGGTGCCGGCCCCGGCCCTGGCCCTGACGCCGCTCCTACCGTGACCCTGTCCTGGCTGCTGGCCTGACCTTGATCTGACCCGGTGCCGGCCCTGGCCCTGACCCTGGCCCTGACGTCGCTCCTACCGTGACCCTGTCCTGGCTGCTGGCCTGACCTCGATCTGACCCGGTGCCGGCCCTGACCCTGGCCCTGACGTCGCTTCTACCGTGACCCTGTCCTGGCTGCTGGCCTGACCTCGATCTGACCTGGTGCCGGCCCTGGCCCTGACCCTGGCCCTGACGTCGCTCCCATCGTGACCCTCTCCTGGCTGCTGGCCTGACCTTGATCTGACCCGGTGCCGGCCCTGACCCTGGCCCTGACCGTCGTGGGGCTCCGGCCTGCTGTCGGCAGACGGTGCTGCATGACGAGTCGTCGGACGATGACGGCGGCAGCGTGTCCCCGCTGGACGACGTGGCCTCGTTCGAGTCGGCCTCATCGGTTGCCGGTGCCACCATCTTCGCACCGGACAGGTGGGGCGCGTGTGGGCCGCATTCCATCGCACCAGACGCCTGTGGGCCGGTCTTTATCACACCAGGCGCCTGTGGGTCGGGCCCGTCACATGTAGTTCTGGGACAGACCAGAAGTTTGTCCTGGTCATGGTCGAGACGATGTGACATTAGGATCGGGCCGGGTCGCGTGCCAAAACAAGATGAAAGCGGATCGTCGATGACTGCCTGTTGGTGCTGATGCTCTTTTCCCGTATATTTTGCTTCAGCCACCGTGCGGCTACGTGTGACGAGTCTAGATACATAATGCGCTCTTGTTCGGCTAGAATGCGGACCGTAGCAACTCCGTCGTACATTGGTCTGTTGAAATATTCCGCAGACCTACCCCTGTCGTGTAGCATGCTGAAAATTTGCGAAAAGGTTGGTTTCATACTCGATTATTTCGCTTGATTAACCGCACAGCACGGCGCAAAATTGGCACATTGGTGGGGCTTGCCGCGGTGAATGTGGCCGCTGGTCGGTATGCACTGCTCGTGTGTCGCGCTCAGCGCGTGCTGAATGCAACATACGGCCGCGTTGTGCCATAAATAGGCCGAGAGTGGGTGGACTGCCCGGCTGGGGCCTCATGGCTTGGCGGCGCTCGGTCGCCGCCGCGGTCCGGGCCGGCGGCGTCCCGAGCACCGGCCGGCGGGCGGAGGGGGCGGGGCGTGACGGGCGTGACGGGCGTGACGGGCGTGACGCTCACCGGCAGTCTGCTGGCGCGCGAGCGCCGCTCGTCCGGCTCTTCCCAGTCGTCCAGCACGCCCAGCGATGGCAGCCACGACAACGCCGCCGACCTGACGCCCTGCAACGCCTCGCCGCGCTTCGGCCACCTGCTGGCCGACTTCGCGGTGAGTCGGCGGGGCCGCGCGGCGGCTGCGGGCGCGGGGGCGTGGCAGCCGGGGGGAGTGGGTGGCACGGGCCTTGTGTGATCCGCTGCGGGGTCCAGGTGTCGGTGATTTTGGCTGCTCCTTACGCTCCATTAGCTGTGCGAAGTTGTGACATCGGCGCGAGCCCTTTCAAAGGCTGGTGCCTCTGTCGCGTACTATTGCTGGGGCAGTAAGTTACGTCGGTGTTAGGGTTAGGTGGGCCGATGCAAAGGAGACAGGACCGGCACTATTTCTGCTCCGGTAAGCCAGCCGAAAGTCATTTTCAAAATCGTGCTAGAACAAATGCCACTTTGTTTTGGAAATATAACAGTGGGAAAGTGTGGACGTAGGTGTAGAAGGGGCAATGTGGGGTCTCAATTACCGTATCAATGTGCACAAAGCGTGGCCGTTGGTCTGTTACCACTCCCCAGCATTGTTGGGGCATTGCACACATATTGGCTGCAATTTTCTCGATGCGACAATTCGCTGCAGAAACCGGCAGATCGTCACAACCAAGCAGGGTGGTCGGCCGTTTCGGCGTCATCTCTAGTGGCGTTTCCGCGAAGAATTAATTTTATCCCAGCACTGTACTTAAAGGCAATGTTTCACATTTGAAGGTATTGAAACAAACATCATTGTTATGAGATAAGCTCACTTATAACTATTGGTATACTTTTAACTGGAAGGCTGCTTAAGACAACAAAATTTCTACGTTTAGTAAATGTGCTCCTCAATGCGTCTTTGTGTGAATGCGCCGTGGAACGTTTGTGTGACGTTAGAGGTGCTGCGAAACTTATTGTATTGTATAGTACTAAACGTGTTTGATGTTCGAATCTTGCGCTACCTGCACAACATTTGTTGAGAGCTAATTGAAGTCCGTTGTGCCTGAAAATAGTCTGCACGAAGTCGTCTGCGCATCTTTGCGGGCGGGAAACTCGGAAAATAGTGTTTTATATTTTAAGAAGGTCCGATTTATGAACTGCACTGAATGGCCTTTGAACCGGACCATTTCAGTTCAAACGTCATACAACTATGGCACACCGCCTTTAAGCTTGCAGGCTCCATTGTTCGCGCTCCCGCTTGTGACCTGCGGCCGCTGTCGCCGTGTCCGCGGGCAGTGGTGGCGTGCAGCGCGATGCTGCTGACTGGGTCAGTCGGTGCCCGGTGCGCCGGTTAGTGGCAGTGGGCGACCGTGACGCCGCCAACCGGCCGGCAGGAGGCGGCCGGCGTCCGCCACACGGACAGGGAGCAGGAGTGGCACCGGCAGGTGTCGGCGCTCGTGTCGGACGGCGCGCCACCGGCCGTCGCCGCCTCGGCCGTGCTGCTGCTCTGCAAGCTGCTGGCCGACATGCAACTATCGTTCGTGCTGGCGGCCGAGGAGAGCTGCCAGCAGCTGGCGGCGCTGGAGGCGGCACGGCCGCTCTGTCGCGTGCTGCAGGTGCGTGCGCCCGCTTCCCCGGCCGGCGCTGACAGGCAGGGCCGTGGCCGCCCTCTGCAGGCCTGTACGGTAATATGCTGTGCATCCCTGCTGCGTCAGCCGACGCGCCTACTTAGGCAGTGACTATCCTATCATCCCCCTGATTAAACGGCTTTGGAAGAATGCCGTGTGGGCTACAATAGGATATTAACGGCAGATCCGCACGGAGTAGGCGAAGCGGCCCGGTTGGAGGTGGCGTGTTCAGGTGTCAGCCCACCGGGCAGCGGGGCCTGACCCGTCTGACGGCCGCCGCTCCCCACCGCCCCAGCAGACGGTGGTGTCGACGCTGCGCGAGCTGCGACTGCCGCACGTGTACGCCAGCGGCCAGCTGCTCTCGACGCTGGGCGTGCTGCCGCGCCTGCGCTTCACCTTCCTCGAACTGCAGGAACACCTAGAGGGCTACCAGCAGCGACGCGACCAACTGCTGCGGGTCAGTATTCACCAGCTGCTGCTGGTCATTGTGCACCAGCTGCTGCTGGTCAGTGTGCACCAGCTGCTGCTGGTCAGTATACACCAGCTGCTGCTAGTCAGTACACACCACCTGCTGCTGGTCAGTGTACACCAGCTGCTGCTGGTCAGTATGCAGCAGCTGCTGCTGGTCAGTGCACACCAGCTGCTGCTGGTCAGTATGCACCAGCTGCTGCTGGTCAGTATACACCAGCTGTCGCCTATCAGTACATAGCAGCTGTTACTAATCATTGCATATCAGCTCATGCCAGATAGTTTGGAGCATTTTCTGCTGGTCAGTATATTCATATGGGCATATGTCAGCCGTTATGTATCCGACATTGCCAGTCAGCATATGTCCGCTGCCGGTGAGAGCGTACTGGTTGACACCAGGCAGTACGTACCAGTGTTTGCGTGTCAATGTGCGATTATGCAGCAGGTGGACAAAGTCCTTATGGTCTGTCACAGCGTTTGGACTTACGGGCCGTGCCACATAGGCAGGGCGTGCATGGTCTGCCTCAGTGTCTGGAGTGGTGCTGTTCTGTTTCGCCGACTAAAAACTGTCTGTCTGCTCTGCTCCAGTGTCTGGACGTCACGTGCGTGCTCTGTCTCAGTGTTTGGACGTGACGCGTGTGCTCTGTCGCAGTATCCGAACGTGACGCGTGTGCTTTGCCCAGTGTCTGGACGTGACGTGTGTGCTCTGCCCGAGTATATGGACGTGACGTGTGTGCTCTGCCCGAGTATGTGGACGTGACGTGTGTGCTCTGCCCCAGTATGTGGACGTGACGTGTGTGCTTTGCCCCAGTGTCTGGACGTGACGTCTGTGCTCTGCCCCAGTATGTGGACGTGACGTGTATGATCTGCCCCAGTATGTGGACGTGACGTGTGTGCTCTGCCCCAGTATGTGGACTTGACGTGTGTGCCCTGTCTCAGTGTTTGGACTTGACGTGTGTGCTCTGCCCCAGTGTCTGGACGTGGTGCGGACCACGGTGCCTCTGCATGGCTCGCTGGACAGCGGTGGACCGCTGGACGAGACTTACATGGAGCTGTGCCGCACCCTGTATAAGCTACACTTCCAGCTGCTGCTGCTGATGGAGGGATTCGCCAAGACGCTCAGCCTCATCAGCGTGGACGCGCAGGTGGGCGTCCGCTCCACGCGGCGACGTCCCCCACAAATGTGTCCGGTTCCACCCGCGTGTCATGCAACAGGTGGTCTGGCTGAGCACTCAAGTCCGGTTGAAACGGAGCTAGTTAAACATGATGTTCTTCCTCTTCCGTTTGGCTACGGAAACTGGGTTCCTTCACCACATCGCCTCCAACCCATCGCTCAGCCCCCGTTGGGAGCGCTTGTGCTGCCACTTGTGCCTGGGCGTCGGATGTCTGCGCCGCCGCCGCCGCCGCCGTGTGGTCCCACCCCGGATCGTGTCGCCGCTGCGCCGGACGCTGTCTCCGACGCGCCGGCGGCGGTAGACTGAGTGGGCGTCGCCCTCCCGCCGCAGGACGTGGTGGACCTGACGTCGGAGGTGACCCAGCTGCGGTACGCGCTGGGCCAGCTCCAGCTACAGACGGAGCAGGAGCAGGAGCTGGAGCACGAGCCGGCCGGAGCCGTCTCCTCGCCGCAGGAGGCGCGCGCCCGCCTGCTGGAGCTGCTGAACGGCGAGCAGCTGACTGCCGCCGTGCGCTTCTACAGGGCACACAGGTGAGCGGCGGCCACCGCCGAGCGCCGGGCGCCCGGCACGGCGCGGCGCCGCTGAGGGCAGGAGAGCGGCGGCCGAGGCGGCGCAACATCGTCCCAATAAAATCGGTGACGCTTACACGCATGAACTGGTTCAGTATCCGGGTTTGAAACTTGCCGCTGTAAAACTTGGTGCCTTGGTGCCGTAGAAATAGTCAAGCGCCCACAGTTTCATTGGTTGTGATCCGTGAACATCTACAAGGGACTTAAGGGCTGAAAAAGCGACGTGGGATTGTTAAGAGCACGGCACTTAAGATGCTGCGACTTCTTAACAGCAATGCCCATTACAAGAAAAGGGATGTTATCAAAAAGTTGTACTTAGCTTATGTCAGGCCACACCCAGGTATTGTGTACAGGATTGGTCCTCATGCTTCCAAAAAGATAAAGACAGGCTGGAAAGAGTACAGCGAAAAGCAACTAGAATAGTAAATGGGATTGGCAACTGGCAACAACTCTGCAGGAAAACCATGCAACCACGCAACTTTGGAACTCGTCTTTGCTGGAAGGGGAACCCCTTTATGCCGACTTATGTTGATTGTTGTCGTGGTGGAGATTATCGGATGGTAACACGTTTTACTGGCGTGAATATTACACGATTATTCTTACAAATTATTTTTAAACGCGGTCCATAAGGGGTTTCCTCTCCTACGTTCCTCTAATGCACGCAAGCACGTTCGTTTAGAAGTATGAGTGAGGCCAGTTTATGGCCGGATTGGTGTGTTGGTGCGGGGCGTGTGTGCGAGCCGTTCCGCGTCCTCTGCTCACCGTCGGCGTGCCGCCGGGCTCCGTCCGTCAGGGGCCAGTTCCCGGCCGAGCTGACGCACGAGGCTGACGACGTCTCCACCGTGATCGACCTCTTCTGCCACATCCGCTCCGAGGCGCAGCGTGAGTGCCGCTGCCGGCCGCCGGTGCTGTCCGAGCCGGGCGCTCGAGCGCGATGGCTGCAAGTCGGAAAGGTGGCGTTCAATTGCGCGCGGGATCCTCTGTCAGTATACCTGGACGTGCTCTCGTCTCTCGTTTGCCAGGAGTCCCTACCCGTTGGCTACGGTCGGTGGTTGTGACCCTCCTGTTTTGTGACTGTTTGTGTGTATGTCGCTTATCAATGACTCATTGATCTGCGATCATCCACCGATACCCGTGGTCAGCTGGCTTGGGCGCTCCTATGTCTGATAATGTTGTCAGTAGTGATCAGCCATTAGCCGTGGTCCAGTAGTTTAAATATCCCTGGACCGCGATCATCCACTGGGTTCCAGGCCGTTGTGGCATGGTTACGTGGCCTGTGGATGGCCGACCCACGATCAGCCGTCTCTGGATCCGTACCCGCGGCACTCTGACCCAGGGCTCCCCAGCATGTAGTCTCCTGACCTGCAATCGCTGGTTAGCGGCTCGTGTGGTCGCAGGCCCGCGGGTCCCGCCCGCTCTGCCCTTGACGAGCACCATCTCAGCCTACTCGTGTCGGGCTGGCCCAAACTCGCCGCTCATCTGTGGTCCCCTGCTGTGCGGTCGCCGTGTCGTCGTCCCTGGGCCGCAGTCTTCCTGGACTGTTGTCTACCTGACTGGTGACCGTCCCGCTGTCGGTGTGCGCCACACGACCCTGTCGCGCCGGGCTGCGTCTGGCCAGCGTTGTCCGGACGCCTGACTTATTGGCCGCTGTCGGCAGCTGTCGTCTCGCTCAGCCCCACCACGGCGCTGTGCGCGGCCTGCGCGGCGCTGCAGGAGGCCAGCATGCAGCTGCTGTCGGCCGTGCGCGGCCTGGAGGGCTGGCAGCGTCAGGAGCGCCGCCGCGCCGACAGCGCCCTCCGCAAGACCGAGTGCTGACCGGCCAGCGCTGCCGGTCCAGACAGAGACAGACATGCAGCTGCTGTCGGCCGTGCGCGGCCTGGAGGACCGGCAGCGTCAGGAGCGCTGCCGCGCCGACAGCGCCCTCCACAAGACCGAGTGCTGACCGGCCAGCGCTGCCGGCCCGGTCAGAGACAGACGTGCCGACGGCGTCCGGGGCGGGGCCGAGTGCGCTGGTCGCAGCCGGCCCACGCGCGGCGCGTGGGCCGGCGCGACGGTGCTCGGTCGGGCACGCCGCGCTCTCCACGCCGGCCGGACGCCGGATGGTGCGCGCCAGGGAGCCGGCCGAGTTGGCTGAGTCGGAGGCTAGTGCTGCTCGCAGTCTCCGCTTTAGGTGTGAGGTGACGGGTTTGGCAGCGCTCCGCTCGTATAATGCGTGTGCCGTCGGTCGCCGCTGCCGGCGGCTTGGGTCGGGTCCCGTGGCAGAGGGCAGGGGTCCGGACTCATTCCGCAGGCGTGGTGTGTGTCGTGGCTGTCGCCGTGGGCAGCGGTGTCGGCAGTGCCGGCGGCCGCCCCTGTCGGGAGGGAGACCGAGCCCGCCGCCAGCTGTGGCGGGGCTGCGCCCGACCCCCGGCCCGGCCGGCGGCGCCGGGCCGGGGGTTGCCGTCTATCGGGACGCCAGGTCTGAAAGCACCCGCTGGCTTGTCTCACTGTGCTGTGGAAGTTCTTGTGATCTGAAAGTACGCTGCGTATCTTGTACGTGGTGATGCGGCGGTCTTATGGTGCGCGAGTGTGTATTCTCTGTTTAGGTGCCCGGCACCACTGGGCAGGGCCGACGCTCCCCTTGTCACTGTGTTATTCAACAGGGCGAGCTGTGTGGCTTCGACGTCGGCAGCGATCCGCTCTAAAGGGCTTGTTTGTGTTGACTTGGTTCACGCATCCTCTGCCAGGAGGCTGCATACAGGCAACGCCACGTGTCCAGATCACTCAGCATTTTGGCAATTGCAAGTGAATTGTGAATTATATATGAAGCACAAGTGCGTGACGGACATGAGCATCAGGCGTTTTCACGAATGAGTTGTGTGCGAGTTGTTTACAATTGTGAAATATGTCGAAAAAGAGCACGTACGAGGGGAGAGTGTGACAGGCGAACAGGCGAAAGATGCTGTGACAGATTTGCCGGTGTTAACATTCTTTTAGAGGAAGGGCGTTTTAGAGGAATTAGTTCTACAAGCACAGGTCTCCAGTTTAAGCTAAACGGCGACGTATTTGGAACAACACCAAAAAGCAGTTAGATATAAAAAGAGAGAAACCACTAAATATGCCTATGAGGAATCCTTCAAACGTATCGACTTTTTGTAATCATTTCGCGCAATATTCATTCGTGAGAACGGTTATGCCCGACTCCTGCGCGCGTGTCGGCGGTCGCATGCCACAGTTACCATCTAACCCCATACTGGGCCGCACGGACCCGGAGTGGCCGTGTTGCCGGGCTCGTGTCCGGCCTGTGCGGCCGTGCGGCGAGCTGTCCGGGCCCCGAGAACATGAGCTTGGACGATCGTTTGACACCCGGTTCGCATGAGTCAAGTTCGTTTTCCCTGGGAGAGATGTGTGCAACGTTGTCTCCAGTGGACCACCCCGGGATGATTATATCGCTGTGGAATATACAAGCCAGTGAGCTTTACCGATGTTGTGTGCCCAGTGCGTCATCACAGCATCATCATCGCGCATCACGCTCCGCGTGTTTTAGAAAGCCGAGCGCCTGGTGTGTTTGGCACACGACCTGTGGGACGTCCGCTGACGCGGCGCCCGCGCTGGAGCGTACTGGAGCCGGCCGCCTGTGCCGCTCTGTCCACCTGGAGTAGATGGACAGCGACGTGGTTTGTGCTGGAGCGAGCCGACCCGTGGGACATTCGCTGACGTGACGACTGTGCCGGAGCGTGCTGGAGCCGGCCGCCTGTGCCGCTCTGTCCACCTGGAGTAGGTGGACAGCGACATGGTTTGTGCTGGAGCCAGCCGACCTGTGCGTGCGCCTGGAGGGCTGGAGCAGTGGAGAGAGCAACAGGCTGAGGGGCATCAACAGTCGGGGCATTCAAAACGATTGGCACTGTATATCAGGGGGGGGGGGGGGCACAGCGGCGAGTCCAGTGAACTCACCCCCGACATTGCGTGATGTTCGCCGCCGGTGTCGTCCCGAAGACGTGCGTCGGTGCGCTGAGCGCCTCCCACAGACGGACCAGGCCCGTCTGCGCTCCCGGCGCGCCAGCTGGCTCCGGCGAGATAAGCGGTGTGCTTTGGTATTTAGCGGAGAGACAATCTTGTGTATGGATGCGGATGAAAATATGCTGCCGACCACTGGCCGTGGTAAATATAGAGTTTACTCACATAGCCTTTCGGGCTTGGAAAGACAGATGTTGGATATTTTCATGACACAGAAGTCCTTAGGCTGGAATCGAATTAAGGTGTGAAATTATCAGGTTTTTATAGCTCTTGAACAAAGTTTACCTTTAACTTCGCCGCGGTGAACGCAGCCGAGCAATCGCAGCCAGCAGCCCTGTTTCTTGCTTGATATTACAGTATTTATTTGAAAGGAGCCGCAGCCTCCAGAATTGTCCCTAGTTCGTATTGGCGACATGAAAAGCGGTCGGGTACTGATGCAGGCAGAATCACTAACAAAAGGTTCAAAGATGTCATATGTATCCGCTCACAGTTCGCTTGGAACGTGACGATTGGCGCACTGATACTCGATGTCGTGCTTTTCAATTCAAAATTATAATGCGTATAATTACTATAAACAGTTATCTTGTCATGACTTGCCGTGAGAATAGGAGCCCAGACATGTGTGCGATTATCACTGTGATCGGTGAAGTCCGGGCCTTCGTAACGCCTGGGGATGGGCTGGACTTCGGTTCAACCATATGAAACGGCACCAAAGCAGAAAAGGACGAACGTAATATTGCCGGTGTGATTACGTCCATGCCTGAGCTCACTTTGTCTCGACTCTGCGTGGAACGTCATGTGGAACATGTGTTTTAGATGGACGTTGGGCAATTTTGGAATGAATGAAATGCACAAAATGTCCATAGGCAGCTTATTCGTGGCGACTCGAATGGTTTGTGAAAACGTGATGTGTGGTAACTGTCGAAAAAGATGTTACAGCACCAGGCGCCAACCCGCAGTCCCGGTGGTCAGCGTGGCTTAGCAGCCGTGAGCGGTAGAACGGATGACTAACATAAACGGTGTTATTGGTTGAAAATCCAATCGGATTTTGAACTGAGTGAGTTGCTGCCAGGTGTGAACGTTGATCAAGTGGCAACAGTCACTTGCCAATGCTGATGGTATTAGTGTCATTGCATGTTATGAAAACGTATTTCTGTTTTACGAAAGAATGCGGCAGAAACCAACACAATGACAGCAGACGGAAGCACCTTGACACTGGAGCAGGGCAGCTGACAGTCAGAGGCGACCCTCTACCCTCGTCGGGTCCGGTGCGGTACTTCTCCGGTCTGTTCTGCGATGTGACTCCGCCACAGCAGCATGCCATTGCTGTAGCGGTTGATGAACCAATTGGAACGCAGCGCTGTGTTACATTTTGTCTTTTACCATGTACGTCCATAACATGACAGCTATGAATTCGTGTGTCGTACTATTTACACACCTCGGCTGTGATGGACTGCATGAAACAGCCACATCGCAGTTGAGTGTTTGTTTAGTTGGTAAATACTTAAATAAGTGAGTAAATACTTAAATAAGTGAAATGCTTATCCGTCAATGTATGAGGAGATACGGCGAGGTGTGGCACAAGGATCAAGATGATGTTTCCAGGTACTGAAGCTGAGATCTAAGATTTTCGCCGATTTATGCAGGAAAATAGAGCTAGAAAATAGAAAATCGAATTATAGAAAATACAAGAAGGGGCAAGTTTTTGCTAGGTTAAGGCGATTTTGCACGCTGCAAATCGTGAATGTAAATTTATAGCGGGAGGCACCACAACGTGCGCATCATTTTCGCGGTTGTAGTTTGAACAGCTATGCACTTGTTCGGAATGAAGCCAGAGAGAACAGGTGCTGTTCATGTTGCAGCATGTATTGCGGTAGTTACAGACGATGTTTTCGCCTGCTGCGTCCAGTTGGCAACCGCAGCGGTGGCCGCCGCTCCCCGCCTACTTCCTCTGATGTACCCTCACGGATACGACGTCGCCGACCTTGCTGGTCATGATCATTTGCGAGTCGGTGAACTCGCGCGTGATCTCCAGGTCCAGGCCTTGCTCGTGTCTCTGCGTCTCAACCAGTTTGTTGCCCTCCTTGGTGACCGTTCCGGTCACCGCCCTGCCATCTTGCGCGGTGAACTGATGTGGCTGACCCAGGTCAAACTCGCGCTTGCTGGAGTGGATGGCGCTAGCGGTGCTGATGGTCCAGTGGTCGCCGTCTACGCTGACGTTGACCTCAGGCTTGAGGTTCAGCACTATCTTCCGCTTCGCCGCGGCTACTCCCAGCGCCGTCAGCAGGGCCTCGTCGTTGTCCGCAGAGACGAACTGGTAGGATCCGGCGAACTGGACCATGTTGCAGGCGAGGAGACCGACACCGTGCGATAGCTAGTGCGACAGGCAGAGCGCGACTGAGTATGGGCAGACCCCTTGCCATCTCGACATCTTTGTTATGCCGACGTTCTGCTTTCATTCACACTAAAAATACACTGGTGGAGCCGGAGACCCGCACCTGTCCCAACGTGGCAAAGCGCTTGGTTAGGTGTGTGAGAGTGTTTGAGTCGTTGTTGACAGCGTGTTTGCCCAGTTGGTGAACAAGAAGTCGTCAGTGCTTCTGTGAGGGCGTCACAGCACGCCTCGGTCGACGAGTCACCAGGTCTACCTTCACCCAAGTAGCGCACATAGCCCGAACGAAGTCTATACTCAACTTAAATGCTTTTGACCTTCTGTCTGGAGTCATGTGTGGTGAAAAACGAGAAGTCCAGGAGGAGGTCCACGGAGGGGGGCACGGGCCTTCCCGAGGCCCCTCCCTTGGCGGCACTCTGGCTGTAACTGACAGCGATCGTGACGAGCTTAACAATGAATGCATTGAAATTGAAACAAAGGTATTATTTTTCTCAACGAAGGCATTGCGGTTCGAACGAAAAACCTTAGTACCAAACTAGAAGGATTTGGGAGTAAATTTTACATGTGGTCTACGTGACGGAAACTTTGACCACGTGCTACAATGAAGCGCTACTGAAAATTCATGAGCATTGCCCACACAGTGCCGGATTTTTTAAAGATCCATTTTGTTGTAGCATACCGCTGATGTAACTTAAGTGAACCATCTTTCATTCATTTCTACACTCTTTTCAACCTGGTAACTTTCTTATTGCTGGTTCTTAGTACCTATGTGTATCTAACTCACGGAGGCGCCCAGTAGCAGCGCCCAGTAGCAGCGCCACCCAACGTACAAGTGGCTAACTGTCCCTTGCCATTTGCCAAGGAGGCGAACATAGCCCCCTCCAGTCCGCTTTCCGCAACGTGAGCATAGGCGTAGGAACGTTTCAAAAAGTGGAGGGGGGGGGGGCAAGCTCAAGGTGTACTTCAGGAACTTTTTCTGGAAAGCGAGCCCGATGACCGGCGACGGGGGGAGGCGTGGGGATGGAGGCTGTTATCGCTATTTATTCAACTGTCACGGCTGCTGTGCTAGATATGCATCTAGAGCTGTTCATCACTGGTGCACAATCTTGCCTATTCGACTCATATGTTGTTTGGCAAATAAGGATATCCAGCTTCTCTAGATTATTCGTCCATTTTAACATTGTCTTTCCTGTGGAGGCGAAATTCCACGAGCGGGTAAGCATTTTGGGTCATAAAGGAAGCATCTGCCTCCACATTGAAGATGCCAAAATATGGTCTGGATATAGGCTAGTGAAAATTTTGAAAGTGGAAGTGATGGCTCGCAGTGCGACAGATTTTTTCATGCGTCTTCATTTCGCTGGCTGCTTTTCAAGAGATAAGACTTGTCGCAGCATTTTGGGCGGAAACGAATTCGGGGGCTTGAAACTGCCAGAAACAATGCGACAAGAGCCGTAAACTGGAGATTCTCTTTTAAGAATCAGGTCACATAATAACGCCCATCTGTCATATGTTTCTTATCTCGGCCCTGCTCCTGTCCACCGCTGGCCCGGGTGCCTCGCGCATGACTGACTGCGAAGTGATCGTACGGCTGCTTTTTTGCATACTTTTGGACCAGCGTTAATGCTACATGGTGTATGGAACACGTGTTGTACACCTGCAGCAGTATCTTTTTCCGAACTATCTTTCCCCATACCATACCATCGCAGAAAAATAGCATCCGGGAAGCTGTCGGCCTTAGGAATGAATTGGCCCAACGGACACTTCATAGCCCATCGTGCAACGTACACGACTTGATCTGCTTTTGTGTGTAGGCAGGGGCGTAGCCAGAGCCTTGCCAAAGGGGAACACAAGGCTGACATGCGCAAAAGCGACATAATTTTTATCTCGGTTCTACAGACATTGGGGACATCACGAAGGTAGATTGTGGATCGATATGTTTGGTTCCCATTTGAAGATGAAAATTTGATTGCAAATCGAGTGGTCAACAATGCGTATTAACATGACCAAGCCATATTTGCCTGACAATTTTCACCATTCAGTCAGAATCTTTTAGTGATGCAATTTGTGCAACGCGTTTTTTAACATGCGCGCTCGCAAATGTTAACAACAAAACCACAACACCAGGCGTTGCAGTCTCCATAGTCCGCGGAGGGTTGGCTCATCAGCTAATATTTAGCCGTGTCCCACAGGTAGACGAAAATGATAACGTTTCTGAAATGATTATCTTTAAACACTTTAATCGACAAGTAAAACAAATTATGTGACGTAAGTTTGAGCATGCGCACTCGAAAATTTTAGAAACACAAGTCTCGACTTCAGACGTTGCAGTCTCCGTAGGCCGCGCAGCGTCGGCCTAGCAGTTAATACTGAGCTGTGGCCAACGGATGGACGAAAATGACGACGCTTTTGAAAAGTATCCTTGAGCGCTTCATAATATCAGATCTTACATTAAGAAAGTAGTCTGAGTGCATATTTCACGTGTGCAATTTTTTGACTGATGAAAAGAACAGATTGGCCGTTACAGCACCGCGAAGTGTGTCGGGAATGTGGTGGTTGAACGGGAAGAGTGAAAGTAGGATCTCTATTTTTCGTATTTCTTGCCAGTATTTATTTATCTAGAAGATATATTAACGTGGCGCCCGCCGTCTGATGGCACTTGCAGCGGCCGAAACTTTTCGGTTTTACGAAAGTTGCAACCCAGACCATCCTTGTCATTGCTCTCGAGGTTGCGTGCGGGTATGTTTGAGCATTTTGACGTAATTTGTTTCACCAGTACATTCTGAAAAAAATGATCGTTTTTGGGCAAACCTGGTATGACCTTGCTCGTTTTTTTAAAAGATTCTTTCGACCCATTCTATCCAACGATAATGAGACCCCACTCTACTCAACAGTAATGAGACTCCTTATTTCCTTCCGGACGAGGGACTCTTGAGTAGAACACCAGGGGTACATTACCGTTTCCAGTCAAGGGCTGAAGGGCCTTTTCGTCTCATCGCTAAGTGTCTTCCGGCTATCATTCTGGTGACACGGGGTGGGATCTCCTGGTCGATCCGGAGGCCATAGAAGGATATACCACATCACATTGTGATGTAATATATCCCCAACACGGGAGGCCTTCTGACCCGCGCAGTTAGCCCCGAATCAGCACAGGAACCTTCATTGATGCAACAACACCCCTGATCACCGCAGGTAGTCTAATAATTGTCATATAGACTCTCATATAGTTCCGTGTTTTTTCTGTGTTATTCAGAGATGTTGAGTTCTCCCTGACCGTAAATTGTAGATGAAATGGGGTTCCTAATTTGCATTGACATGGGTAACCCTTGGTCGTCTTAAAATGCTCAAGATCCTGTCATAACTGGTTACTGATAAGAAAACTACCTAATATGGTCTTGAACATGCGTGCTCGCAAGTCATAACAACCGCCTCGACGCCCAGCGTTGCAGTCTCCAGCCCGTGTGGCGTCAGCCTTGCGGCTGTAGCATTAAGGCGATGTCTGGTGAACAAGGCAAATCAGCACGCATCTTCAATGTAGTGCAAAAGTAAGCCAAATGCAACCTTAATATGAAAAGTGGGGGGGGGGGGGGTGGGGGGGCAGCTAACATTGCTAGCTCCCCACCTTCAAGAGTGGGGAGCATGGCCCCTGCCCCCCCCCCTTCCTACATCCATGGTCTCAATGGACCAAAAGTAAAATGCACAAAATACAGCAGAATACATAATATGTGGCATTTTGTTCCGTACGCACTGGATGTACACAAAATGTCTTGCAATCTTTTTCCAGTGGAGTTGTACGTGAAAAAACAATGTAGGCACTGAGGCTTGTTTAATGAACACCTGGGGACACATGCTTACGGAGAGCGTACGCTCATAATAAGGGGAGGAAGTAGTCGACATGCATGCACCAATGGCACACATTATGCCCTACCCAAACTTTTAAGTGCACATTTCAGCAACGGCACAACACGACGCGGACCAAGGATATAAGGAATCGCTGCGCATTGGTAAACTTTGACAGAGGATAAACTCGCGAGCACCATCGTGAAATATTGATTGTTAGCGCTGTTGTTCAGGCAAGGTACGTCCAACAATAGCCGCCTGCTGATTGATTTGAACACTGATTTCCTGTAGCGAATTGCTTTTTGATCTGCGATACAGTTCACCAAAACCTTCCGGCCCAGCCATCGACGTCTCGCGCAAGCCTTATCATAGTGCCGCGTGCCTAACATTAGGATATGGAAGCTTGCATGCTTGATTATTTAATACTTTTTCTTGTTAGGATCTGAGCAGATTTTCAACGGTTGCGATCATTCACAAGCCTTTTGAGAAGCGCGTTTTGCGTTAGCTCATTCACGGGTGACCACGTATATTACCTGGACCTGTTGAATTATCATTATATTTTTTGAAATATTGGCGTAGAATCTTGCGTAACCAAGTGTCTCCCGGTGTACTGGAGTACCTGCATTTTTGGCATAGATTTCATAATTGTGAGAGAAAAGTCGTGTGTGTGTGTATTACAGTACTGTTGTAAACATTAACGGATACCACATGTGTAAACGTTGCCTTTTTTCTTTCAACGAGGGATGAATTTCTGGTTTGCATTCATGCGATGAACAGAGGCAGTGTCACCGACTTCCCTCGTAGGGCGAGCATATCTCAAAAACCGAAGTTGTCTCCAGATTTCGCCCAATTTACAAACTAATTTCCTAGATACATGAAATTAAGCACATCCACGTCTCAGCCTCGCGGAATCTTATGACTTGTTAATTAGTGCCTCCTCTTGGACTGGTGAGACTTTTAGTAGCAGCAACGCCGTCGTAGCTCAATCAGTTAGTGCGTGCTGCCCAGCCCACATTTGACGGTGTGGATAGGTTTAAATATCCCCGTTATTCGTCCTCAGCGCTCCACATTCACTATTTGCCCCATTTCCTTTCAGCTTCTCATCTAGGAGAGCAGACGATTCTTCCGAAGTCTCCTGAGCGTGGGCGATCCGAGCGTGGGTATTCCACGTATAGATCTTCCGGGCATTAAGTCTTCTGAACATAGTTTTTCTGACCCTCATCTTTCCCAATTCGGGAGACAGGCTCACCGTTGCTGCTTCGTCAGCGGCGAAACTGCTTCGTTCCTTTATGATATGATTTACGGGAAGGACAGCCGTCGAGGACAACAGCCGTGTTTTGACACCTTGAATGTATTTTTAAGCGCTTGGTCCCCACTCAGGGTTCCTCGCTCACGACTTGGCCGGTGTCACGTTTACGCACTGAAACTAGACTCTCACACAGCTTAACATTTACGCACTCCTCTATTCTGGATTTTTCTTCTCGGCATTGATTTAAATGAATATTAATACATGGTCCAGTTCAATCAGGACTCACATGTCACATGCCTCGGTGCCCGCTTCAAAAGGACCCGGCTTATAATCCCCCCCCCCCCCCCACCTCTGAAAAGATATCCCATGTTGTTCAGGAAGCCCCCTGGAAAAGCCTTTCCTCAACTTATATTTCCTGCCAATGCCAAACCCGATAAATTGATGCGGGGAATCCACATAAACGAAAAGTATCCACCAATCTCTTGGTGCACCAGCTAATTGCTCTAAATGATATCATGTGCAATATCTTGACGACAAATGGTAATTCATTGAACCATATCCTATGATTTGTAATGTAGCGTGCTTTGTGATATTTTACACCTTTAACCTAGAGCCCAGTGATAAGTAGATCAGAAACAGGTCATTAACCCGATAGGAAGCCTAACTTATTGATACCCATACTTTCACCTTTTTTGCAAGGTTTACGCCGTTGGACGCGGTAGGCTAATTGTGGTGAAACGTGACAGCGATCACTTAGAATAAACAACAGTTGCATCAAAAGGTTCTAGTTACATAGAGATATGACCAAACAGCGAGCACGCCCCCGGTCAGACACAGAACAAGTTCCACGCCGGCTAAGGGCAAAGCTGCGACGCTTTCACAGCAGCTCGACGCGCGTCCAACGCCCCACTCCACGGTACTCGTCTCGTATTCAGCCATCACTTGCAAGTCGAGCGCGGCCTCGCTGACCACCAGCATCCGGCACCATGTCTACCCCGGCGTGGGAAATTAATCCGCTGTTATGCGATCCACCGACCGTACGCTTGTTATGTTCGTACTGGCGTCGACTGTATGAGCAACGCCGCCTACCAATAAGGGCGATTATTTGCACCCTGACAGTCACTCCAAGAGCTATTTTGGAAGCTCTGGTTCTTGGACATTCTTTACCTTGGACAATACGTACATTGGACATTCTGTAGTTTGGGCATTCTGTACCTTGGACATTCTGTACACTGGGCATCATGAAACGGACCCCTTCAACTCTGCGCCATTTTGAAAGTTATTTCTCATCTTGGACATTGTGCAACTTGGACATTCTGAACTTCTGACATTCTGTACCTTGGACATTCTGTACTTTCGACATTCTGTACCTTGGACAATGTGAACGCCTCCCGGGCCCGCGCCATTTTATGCAGGTTTCTGATGAGCATGTGAGCCCTGACCGCCCAGACGGCGCGGTGCCCGAGGCGCCGTGATCTGGGCGGTGATTGGTTCGCAACGTGCCGGCCGCTTGGTTCGCAACGTGTCGGCGTGGGCCCCCGCGCGCCGGGAGGGCGAAGGACGGACGCCGGCACGGTGCGGGCGTGGAGGTGTCGCCGGCGGCTGGTACTGCCGCCCACAAAGTTCGCTACGTTTATCCAGCTTACATATACACAAGTGGCGGTACCACGGAGGAGCAACAGAGGGCTATCGATCAGCAGAGCTCGCAGACGACGGTTCATGCGACCAGAGCCACGCAAGAACCGAACGGCAGCTTTGTCTGGATTTAGCACTGCGCTTACTTTGACGGTGCTCCGAGGCCTGTACGCATTGAACGCCTCCCGACCGCGATGCATGCCCGAGGGGAATACGCAGAAATGTGACATCGGTGTCGGAAACGGTGTGGTGGTGTCCCCATTACCGCTGGAGATGTCTGATCGTAGTCGAGACCGTACAAGATCCCAGAGTCGGGAGGAGCGGTACAAGTCAAAAGCCTTCAGTCCCCGTGGAAAAAAAAACTGGACGAGAATGTGGCGCGTCGCCGAGGCCGGTGCGAGACAGGGGTTCCGGGAATGACAACGAAAGTCCTGCAACGCGTGTGGGGGACCAAGGCCCCGTCGCACTGGGGGCATGGTTCTATTCCTTTCGCTGAGAACCCCGACTCCGCTCCGAATCCTGCAGTAGACACTGGTCCAGGCCACGCTATGGTCTGATTCTGTGCTTCGAGCCAGTTTGATCTCGTTCGTCCCATTCTGTTCCGGATCACGATGGTTTACACGTGCCACACAGCGGTCTTCTCCTTTTCAATGCTTTACTGCCGAAGAAATAGCTGTACAAAATAGGACATAGCGCATAGCTACCGCAAACGGAGCCACATAATTCCACTAATCACATGGCGGGACAGCAACACAATAACAGAACAACAGCTGGCCTGCGGAGGGCCGGGCCGGGCCGGCTCCAGCTGGCGGTACCCGGCCGCACAGCGGGTGATCCCGTCTCTTAAGCCCGGCCGTCGGCGCGCGCCGCTCTGCTAAACTCGCGCTCCGACCGGAGCATTGGCATTGAGATCAAGCGCCAGCCGTATCACGCCGAGCGAAACCAACGCCGCCGGCGGCCGCGGCGCGACGCGAGCCCCGCAGGTGGCAGCACTGTCCGCCTCGACTCACCGCGCGGCCCACAGGTGGCAGCACTGCGGGCCTCCGGCCAATCACGCGCATCACAATGGCAACAGGGAGCTGGGCGCGCGCACGGCACCACCAGCCTTCTAACGGTGGGAGCGGTCTCGTCAAAAGGAGAGCCCCGGTGGCGAGCGTGCCGCGCGAGCAGATCAAGAGTCCCCCTCTGCCCAGTAAAATATGCCACAAATTGTGCTGCCACTGTTCGGTGCGAAAGATACAGGAAAATATTGAGTTCCGTGAAGGCACACCAGTGTTCCTCTCATGTGTGCGCGCAGACTGCTGTCGGCGGCGGCAGTGCAGGTGCCCACCGGCCCCGTATGGCGCGTGCACTGGTGGCTCTTGTTGGCACGAGAACATCCTAGACTCACCGCCCAGGCCTAGCCACCTAGTCACACCGTTCTGAAAGACGCACGTGGTCTTTGGAGGGGCGGAGGCGGCGCGGCCGGCAGCCAACGCCGAGACTTGCGCCCGCCATACGTCCACGCCCTCGGCCGAGCGTATTTGAACATCGTTACAAGGCACTGGGAACTATGTACACACGGGTCGGGCTGACGCGTCGGCAAGATGCGTCGCGCAGCGCCCGGTCTCAAAACGTCAAACACGCGCACACTGAGACACCTATACGCACAGCTACACCCACATTTAACAAAGGCTCGCTACGTAAAGCATCCAGCGGCGCCGGCCGCGCGCGCGGCTCGCTCACAACACCAAGGTCACAAGGTCAAGGTCGCACAGTGACGTCAGGACGAGATCATGGTGGCTATGTACAAAGGGGGAGGGGGCGCACGGGCACCGGCTCGGCGCGGCACCGGACACCTATCACGGGCGCGGGCGGGCGGCCGGCCGGCCGGCGGCGCTCAGTCCTCAGTCCTTGACCAGGCGGTAGATGTGGTGTTGCGCGCCATGCTCCGACGTTGACACTTCGAACACGAACGCGATGCACAGCAGCGTCTCCTGCGTGTCCCGATTGGTCACCACCTGCGGAATCGGTGCAGTGTCAGCGTGTGACGTCATCAGCGCCCACCACACGGCCAAAGTTCGGCCGTGGCGGCGCCGGGGGCTCGCGTCGCCCTGAGCAGCGCAGCCGCGCAGCCGGCGGCCGCCAGCTCTGGCGAGCGGGGCGCAAACTTCCGTGGGAGGGCGCGGCCGGCCGGCGCAGGCTATCCGCCCCCACCGCGCGTGGAGAGCGGCAGCCGTCGGACGACAGCGCCCCAGCGGCCCCAGCCGCGCAGGACCCCGGCCGCTCGGGCCGCCGCACGGAGCGGGACACGCGGGACGACACACCGACGGCAGAGGAGCCGCCGCACCAGCGTACGTCACTCCCGCGCACGCCGGCCGCGTGACGCGACGTCACCACGCCAGCAGACGCCAGATCTGCCGCTCGGTTCTACATGAGTTCATTCACATCGGTAGCGTGTGAATACGCTGCCCGGTGCATGCGGACCAGGCGAACTGCTGAGCGCTCGGCTGAACGCCCTCATACGAAGCCGGAGTCGTGCGGGTGTGAACCGAGCCGACCACAGGCGGGCGGCGCGGACCAGCCGGCTGGCAGCGCACGCCGGCGCGCCGGGCTCACCTGCAGAATGGTGAAGTTCTCCAGTACGCTGTTCATCATGTACTTCTCGGGCAGGTGCTTGAGCTTGTGGATGAAGTTGACCATGTATTCGCACATGGGCGACCGGTTTATTCGGTAGAAGAAGCGGCCGTTTTCGAACCTGCGGCGACGGAGACGGCGGTCACGGCCTGACCAGTGACCCAGGCGGCCGACCCAGCCCGGCAAGCGCCGCCAGTCTGCTCCCGCCGCTGGCAGCACCAGGCGGGGCCCCGCCACCCGAACACACGGCAGGCGGCCAGCGGTCCCGGGCTCGCGCCACACTCCGCCGAGGACACAAGGCCTCGGTGCCAGTCTGCTCTCGCCGCTGGCAGCACCAGGCGGGGCCCCGCCACCCGAACACACGGCAGGCGGCCAGCGGCCCAGGTTCGCGCCACACTCCGCCGAGGACACAGCGCCCCGGCGCATTTGCAAAGCGCCTGTTCCTGGTCGAGTTTGGAGCTCATCCGCTCGCCAGGGAACGTTTTCCCAACAAAGATCGGTCAGACTAGTGCGGCGCTTTATGCCGCAATCTAGACGAAGCGGCGCAGTTCTCCAGTGCACGGCTCACGTCATCGAAAAAAATGCCTAGGATGTGACAGTGACAAAAGAAGACTTAGTATGCACACCGGGAAGAAGCACGCCGCCATGAATTCACCACTGCACGAGACCAGGGGGCCCATAACAGCGCCTGCAGTGAAAGCCATTCAAGGCTTGGGCTGTTGCCCAACTGCATAAGGCTGTACATAGGCCGAGAATCACGCCAGCTATCTAAAGCCACCAGTCATTTACGGAAACTATTTAAAAACTGGAAACTAGACTAGAAAATGTCACTGGAGTCGAGACAAGTCATGTCTGGCGGGCAGCCCGTTGACCTTCAGCGGTTCGGCGGCGTCTACACCCACAGTAGCCGGTCTGGCGGCGTCTGCACCCACAGCCGTCGCCCTGACGGCGTCTGCACCCACAATAGCCGGTCTGGCGGCGCCTGCACCCACAGTAGCCGGTCTGGCGGCGCCTGCACCCACAGTAGCCGGTCTGGCGGCGTCTACACCCACAGCCGCCGGCCTGGCGGCGTCTGCACCCACAGTAGCCGGTCTGGCGGCGTCTGCACCCACAGCCGCCGGTCTGGCGACGTCTGCACCCACAGCAGCCGGTCTGGCGGCGTCTGCACCCACAGCCGCCGGTCTGGCGGCGTCTGCACCCACAGTAGCCGGCCTGGCGGCGTCTGCACCCACAGTAGCCGGTCTGGCGGCGTCTGCACCCACAGTAGCCGGTCTGGCGGCGTCTATACCCACAGTAGCCGGCCTGGCGGCGTCTGCACCCACAGTCGCCGGCCTGGCGGCGTCTGCACCCACAGTAGCCGGTCTGGCGGCGTCTGCACCCACAGCCGCCGGTCTGGCGGCGTCCGCACCCACAGCCGCCGATCTGGCGGCGTCTGCACCCACAGCCGCCGGTCTGGCGGCGTCTGCACCCACAGTAGCCGGTCTGGCGGCGTCTGCACCCACAGTAGCCGGCCTGGCGGCGTCTGCACCCACAGTAGCCGGTCTGGCGGCGTCTGCACCCACAGCCGCCGGTCTGGCGGCGTCCACACCCACAGCCGCCGGTCTGGCGGCGTCTGCACCCACAGTAGCCGGTCTGGCGGCGTCTGCACCCACAGTAGCCGGTCTGGCGGCGTCTGCACCCACAGCCGCCGGTCTGGCGGCGTCCACACCCACAGCCGCCGGTCTGGCGGCGTCTGCACCCACAGTAGCCGGTCTGGCGGCGTCTGCACCCACAGTAGCCGGCCTGGCGGCGTCTGCACCCACAGTAGCCGGTCTGGCGGCGTCTGCACCCACAGTAGCCGGCCTGGCGGCGTCTGCACCCACAGTAGCCGGTCTGGCGGCGTATGCACCCACAGCCGCCGGTCTGGCGGCGTCTGCACCCACAGTAGCCGTCGGCGGCGTCTGCACCCACAGCCGGCCGGGGCGTCTGCACCCACAGTAGCCGGTCTGGCGGCGTATGCACCCACAGCCGCCGGTCTGGCGGCGTCTGCACCCACAGTAGCCGGTCGGGCGGTGTCGGCACCCACAGAAGCCGGTCTGGCGGTGTCTGCACCTACAACTGCCGATTTGGAGGCCGCACCCGCGCCCGCTCGCCGCCGATGCCACCCACCTGGCGTACTCGGTTTCCACCTTCTCCACCACCTGCTTGCCGAAGGAGCAGACCTTGGTGGAGCAGGTGATGGTCATGTTCTCAGGTGACTCGTACTGGCTGGTGACGCCGTAGAAGGCGCCGCTGGCGTCCTGCCGGTGACGGGCGGGGGGAGACGTCAGGGACGGAAGCGGCGAGCGGGCGGACACGTCGGGGACGGAGGCGGCCGGCAGGCGGACACGTCAGGGACGGACTCGGAGAGCGGGCGGACACTTCAGGGACGAACACAACGGCCGAAGACGCCAGGGACGGGCGCCGTCGGCGGACGGAGATGTCAGGGACGGCCATGGCGGGAGGAGACGGTACGGACGGAGGCAGCCGGCGGGCGGAGATGTCAGGGAAGGAAATGGCGGGCGGAGACGCCAGGAACGGGCGCGGTGAGCGGGCGGACACTTCAGGGACGAACACAACCGTCGGAGACGCCAGGGACGGGAGCGGTCGGCGGGCGGAGATGGCAGGGACGGACATGGGGGGCGGAGACGCCGCGGACGGAGGCATCCGGCGGGCTGAGACGTCAGGAGCGGACGCGGCCAGTTAGCATGGACTCCACGTGGCCTGACACAAACACAATGATCGCAGAGACATGTCGGTACTAAGGTGCGGAAACGTCTGCCAACGAAATAGAGACGGAGAAAATGCATGGAAGGCACTCATCATGTACGATACACAGCAACGTGCAAAAGAAACGCACGAACGAAACAACACACAATCACGCGTGCAATACACCCGTCAAGTTGAACATTGCGAACCTCCAATTCACTTTGACAACCAGTAAATACATCGCGAATGTTTTAAGTTAAAAAAAACAAACTAAAGCCCGGCGCGCGCAATGGTGAGCGGCATTCGCCTGACCTGGATACTGGTGTTGAGGTCGGCCCAGAACTTGACCAGGAAGAAGGCGTTGGCCGGGCCCTTGTCGTACAGTTCGCGCAGGCCGCCCTTCTTGTCGGGGAACTTGTCGTAGATCTGCGTGATGCCGATGGCCTCCAGCGGATCGTACGAGCCCGGACCGCCGATGTGCACGAACAGATGCTTGTTGTACTGCCGAACACAGAGTCGTGGTCAGACCACACAGACACTAATACGCCGCACGGAGGATTGGCTCTTAAGAGCAGGGCCGAGTGCTTGAAACCGACGGCGCAATAAGACAAGCGCGAGCTGCGTTAAACGTGTGAGATCAAACAGTGCCCCACGCATGACAGCAGCGGGCGTTCATCTGACACTGGCAAGACTGGTGAGAGGTTCTGCGAAAGTGCACACGCTCCCCGGCCAGCCAGAGACCCACTGCCGCGTTTTGGACGGCAACAAGCGAGGTCGCACCGCGTACAGATAGGTTGGCTACGCCTCCAGGAAGACAACTGCAGCTAGCCGCGGACCTCACGCCGGATTAGCCAAACATGAATAAAACATGCCCAGCCGGCGCGAAAGTGATGCAGCGCTGCGGCCGCGTGCCCGGCGACTGCGGCGGTGTCAGACCCGCCAAACCGCCGGCCGGGACGCCGGTGGTCGGCGGACGCCGGTGGCGCTAGCCGGCCACAGGTGGCTCCCTCTCACCATGTCGGCGACGGTCTCCTGTTCGCGCGACTGCGGCGCCACCTCCATGAATGCCGAGTACTCGACCAGGCGCAGCTTCTGCGTGGCGATGCTGCGCCCCTCCCAGGCGGGCGCCGGCGCCGGCGGCTGGCCCAGCAGCGACATGTCGGCCGCGCTCGCCTGCCGGCTTGGCAGGCACGCCGTACGGGTGCTGGCTGAACGGCTTCATGCTGCCGGGGCGGCGGCGGGCGGCCGTCAGCGGAGGTGGCACACCGAACGGCTCGCACCAGTGGACACGCGGGACGCAACTGTGTGGTGTACCATCAGACCTGCGTACTCCGTCATTTGGCGTGAGCTTTACCGATGTCCTAGCCAAACCAATCAGATGTTTTGTTCCGAGAAGCGAAGCACAACAAAGGCCTCATACGAAATGTTCCAGTGAGCTAGCCGGTCGGGCCGGGAAAGATGAGTTACTGCGTCCCTCTACAATATGCATGCCGGTAAGCAAGATCACAAGTCGTAGCTGTTCCGCGCCACGTCCTATCTTGATGGCACCGGTAACAGCGCATCCGTTCTGTGACCATGCAGATGGGTCGCTGGCGAGTCCAAATCACCACCACCTCACGGGAGGCGAGCGCGCGACAACCTGACGCAGTGTGGCGCCCAGCGAGGCGCCGCGTCCCACCGGGCCAGCGCCGGCCATCCACTCACTCCTGAGTCATGCCGACTTGAAGGCCCGACTGCCAGAAGCCGCCCGGGCCGGCCGGATAGCTGGACGGAGCCAGGCCGAAGCCCGACAGGCTCTTGTGCTGCATGTTGGAGGCGGACACGATCTGCGCCGACGTCATGGCCGCCACAGAGTGCAGCGCCTTCTCCTTGGCGTGGTGGTCCTGCAGCGTGCCGAGCGGCGAGGCGTTCTGCGGCAGGCGAGGTGCGCCTCGCGTGAGGCCGACTGGTTGGCGGCGGCGGCGGCCGGCGCACTCGGCCCTGCCCTGATACGCCTGGCACCACTGCTGTCGTCAGGGGACACTCGTGCAGGCTACAAATCCAGGCAACGGCAGCCCCCCGCCCCTCCCTCCCATCGGGTGGCTTCTTCGCCGCCAGAGACGCGCCGGCGCGCGGCCCAACGGCCTGGTTAGAGCACCGGGGGGGTTGGAACTGCTCTGATTTTGTCTGGAGTACCGGAGACTACCGGAGAGGGGCTGAGGGATGGAATCAAACCCGGATTTGGGTCAGGTCAGGGGTGATCAAAACCGGGTAAGGAGGTCGGGAGCAAACGAATAGCGCGAGATAAACCATGGAAGGGAGTGGATGAATGAGCAATGTCGGGCGCGGAATAATTACCAGCAGGTAAGCAATGCTGTACAGGACACTGCAAGTTTGTGCGTGACGTGACAGGCACACTGGACCATCCTCCCCTCCCCCTCCCCCCCCCCTCAGCACACAGAGCACGGTCCAAACAGTGCGGTGCGTTACAGAGGCACCGACCCCCTGAACAGTGCGGCACGTTGTAGTGGGAGAGCCAGCGGCTGTGTCAGCTCACCTTCATCTTGGTCTGCAGCTCGCGCAGCTTCCTTCGCGCCAGCACCTGAATGTGCGAGCTGACCTGCTTTCTCGTGCGACATTTGCCCGTGCGCAGCTTGATGTAGCGCGCAATCAGCTCATTGCGACCTGCAATGACGGAGAGACAGACAATGGCAAGAGCTGGACATGATTCAACTGGGGATCATCGCGATGGTCCAAGTTGGACAGGCCGGACTCATGCCCGGTATGACTTGAAAATGACACATCGCTGGAACATAAGCATGTGAGGCGGACAGGGTACAACACCCCGGCTAAGAGTGTCAGCCACATTCGCGTCGGAGGACCCTGCCCGGACGTGTCTGAGCGACGCGCAACCTCTCCCCGGCGGAGCAACACAGGGGCAGGTCGGACACCCGCCGCTGGCCCTCTCCGAACGAGGTGACACCAGGGTCGAGCGGACGGGCCGGGCCGGCCCTGGCCGCTTCAGAAGGGACGGGCCGGGCCGGCCCTGGCCTCTTCAGGGCGGATGGGTCGGACCGGGGACGAGACGCGACCCACCGGGCTGGTCCGCGCCGCCGTCCAGCCCGCCGTCCCATCGGACCGTATCGGGGCCGCCGGCCGACCGCGAGGCGTCGCGCAAAAACACGCGCGAGATCCGACGGATACGGAGGGAAAAGGTGGCCGCTGGTCGCCGCACGCGACGCCTCTGTGCGGCCGCAGCTGGCCGGCCGGCCCGTCCGCTGGCGGCAGGCGCGCTCCGGCCCGGCCCGGCTAACCGAGGCGCCGCCGTGTTCGCGTCCAATAGCTGTCCAGTCCGACCCATCACGGAGAGCGAGCGGCTGCGCTCGGCCTTTGCATTGCCAGCACACCGACCGGAGCTCGGCTTCCAGCACGGGCTCTGATCGCTCATACGTAGGTGACACGGCGGAGCGCCGGGTTCTGGAGTGTTCCAGTGTTCAGGAGTGTTCAGGTGTTCAGGCTTCAAGAGTGTTTCAGTGTGCTCCAGGTGTCATGCAACTAAAAGAGAGCATTTCTCCTCTTCGTGAGAGGACTGTGTAAGCAGCAACATGATACTATGCATCTCTGTCGTCACTCGTCATCACGTGATAAAGTTGTTGGCTGTTTAAGCTAATCAGGCCACTGCAGTTAACTGCTTGTCTCGCTGTCCGTTACTCCAGCCAGACACTACTCTCACCCCGTCGGATAACATGTCTCCCATCCCCATCAAGGCATACCCTACTCTCCCACGCGCCCGTCCCGGTCATCCAGCCGGACAACCCCTCCAGCTCCGGACGAGGACAACCAGCCGGGCAACCCCTCCAGCTCCGGCCGGGGACATCCAGCCGGGCAAGCTCTCCAGCTCCGGCCGACGACATCCAGCCGGGCAGCCTCTCCAACTCCGGCCGACGACAT